AACTGTATTAGCTCTCTACAGGTTTCTGGATCCAATTTCAGATGAGGGCTAACACCTATAGCCCACTTTGCATACTACCAGCCCATTTGCAGGACTGCCTTCTCCCAATGATACCGAATAGGGTGAACCTCCTCTGGCTCCCCACTTCAAAGTGTCATCTTTTGCAACCAAAAAACCTTTTCTATTGCAACTCCTGCTCCCTGGCTCCTTCCAAAATATGAACGGCCTTAACCCTCTGGGCCTTTAGAAAGGCAGTGGAAACCTGGCTCTTTCCTAGAACATCTGGGGCAAGTTGGTTAGAAGAATGCAATAAATTTGAATTCCCAATTAATTATTTATATTGGCTTTTAGTTGCTGTGTTTTGATATCTTTGTTTACTGATATTTTTTTTTGTATAGTGTTTATAGTCACATTGGTCACAAGTTGGGCAGCCATATAAAAGCTGTATAGTAAATAAATTCCCAACCCTGTTTTACATGTCTTCGCCTTGATATTGCCAACAGCAAGGAAGTACTCAGGCTGATTCCATGGTTCCTTCTACTCATGGGAGCTATAAATGTGTCAGCACTTAAATGCATAATTAAATGTCATTTTTTTGTGTTGCTGTTTACTCTTACAATTTAAGTAAAAGTACATATAGTATATACAGATATCTAGATCAGAATTAATAGGATTTTTTTTTAGTTGTTACCATACAGTTTAAACACCCAACACTTTACAGGCTGACATGCATCTAATGATCCCTAAATAATGTGATAGTGAGATGTCTGCTTTCGGACAGATGTATTTTGCTACTCCATATTAGAGTTTTCTGACTGCTAATATAAAGATTGCCCTGATGGTACCTACATTACGGTATTATTTCTTTGCAATAGCAGCTAATATTGTTTCTTCTCTGACTGTTTATCTGGATATTGGCTGCCAAGGAAAATGTGCTCTGGGCTGTCCTTCCTTGACTGTATCTTGACTGTATTCCTTGATTGTATCTTTTCTTACATGGTACATTGATGGGCTTTATCTCTATGCATCTGTTGATGGTCAATCTGTTGGAATGTCAAGCTTCCAGGAATTCTCCAGTATTTTTTCTCAGCATGCTGGCTGGGTAATTCTGGGAGTTGACATCCATACCTCTTAAAGTTACGAAGGTTCAGAAACATTGGTCTGGAATTTCAATATTTTCCCAATTGAAGTTGGCAGGGCAAGCTATATAAACAGCCAGCAAACCTACTCTCCCTTGCACTGATGAAGTTACCTAGCCAGGTAATGAAAGCCAGAAAGCAATGAAGCTCAGAGAACACCAAGATCCCCAACAATTCAACTCTGGGCTACATGTATTCCTTATTATTGGAACAGAGTAAAAATGGCAGCAGCTAGGCACAACTATTCTGGGTAAGCATAAGGGCAACCCAACAGGAGCACAAACAGTGCTTGCAGTGTGAGATTAAAGTGAATATGTCACTGGCTAAATAACACACAAACCAGTAAGAATTTAAAGTCACTATGATTATCCTTGCCCAGGAAGAGAAATTGGTTTTAAAATACTGTATATGAATTGAGAAACTGGTATATATATTTCTTTATTGAAGTTGTCTAAGACAGGCAAACTTACACTTAGACCAAGAACTACCATTCATCTTATTAGGATTCTGATACTCAACTCAACTGATTGGGCCATATTGACTTGAAGCTGAAGATGTGCCTTTAAGAACTGGCATACTTTGGTAAGAAACCATCTCCGAAAGCAACAAAGCATGGAATTCTCTTCAGTCACTGGTGGAGAATAACTTAAATGTAGTACATAAATAAACACACCAACACGAATTCTATACAAAACCTGAAATATTTTACTTTTAAAATTTTTATCTAAGTTTACTTAGATTTCATGGACTTGATACAAGAGCATTTGATATGAATTGGTAAATAAAACACTGTAATAGATAGCCACAATAAACTTTGTTAGAAATGTACATGTTGTGAAAATAATAATCATAAACATAAACATAATAATAATAATAAAACCAGCATGATGTCTGCGTTATATTATATAAATGCTTGACAATAACAGTATACTAGGGAAGCTTTAAAAAACTTGCTTAACTCTGGGGCCCTATTCAACTAACATTTTTTGACGCCGAGAATTCAGACCCAGTCCCTCACCATAACTAGAAACGTCAGTTAATAAGGCCTCAGTTGTTTTCTATAGCTGTTTTATTTTTTTCCTCATGGACATCACATCCAGGTAATGTGTATATAAACAAAGCTCATAAGAAATGTACAAATATAAAAAGCTACAAACATTAATAAATTACATCATCACAAAACACAGAAACACTTCACAAGGTGCTAATAAAATAATTGTATCCCCTCATAATACAAGAATTGAGACAAGGAGCTGGTATTATAAAGTCGAAGATTCTTCTTCATATTGTATCTTAAATAGATAATTTTGTACTATTATTTGATTCTGTATAAGGCTGCACAAAGTTTTACTTGTTTTTCAGGCAATGCCAAAATTAAAAAAAGGGAGAAAAAGTAATTAAATCGAGGACAAAAACAGAGTATCTCTTTCAGAGTCAAGAACCTAAAATATACTCAGCAAAATACTCAGCAAAAAATTTGTATAAAGGTTAATGAACTATTCTATAGAAAGAAATGTCTAAAGATACTTTGATCTTATAAAAAAGAAGGTACTTTAAAAAGCTATTTACAGGCTAGATTCTATGAAAAAATATGCTTTCAGACACGTATCTATAAATGAAAATCTGGAATTGCCTGAGAAACAAATGTAACGCCTTAAGGCTACAATCCTGTACATAGTACTCTATACGTGAGAGTAAGTTCCATGGAACACAACAGGTTTGATATCTGAGTAAACATGCATAGGATTGTGCTCTAAGTGTTTATATGCAGACAAGCTAGTTTAATGTAAAATATAATGCATTCTACACCAAACACTAAGAGAGTTCAGAAGCAATAAGTATCCAGTTAAACTGTCGATAAGCTTGGCTCTCATCTGGCTGACTCTTAGGTGAGCACAGCCCTTGTTCCTTCAGACAAGCATATCTGAAAGGAAGTGCTTGGATATGAATGTCAGAATACCTCATTGATAGGGCTGCACATTCTTTCTACCTCATTACAGTGCTTGCAACTGAGGTTTATATAAACAGCTGATCTATTATATTACTAAATGGATTCATAAGCTCTAAAATGTTTATGTGTATTCCTTTCTGAAAAAAATAATTTCATTTGGGACAATTTTTTTCTCCTGATATGCAGCTCAAGGAAAGGGTTTGGTTATAGATCAGAAAATAAGTGCTTGGGGTCCCAGGACAAGAGCTTCTTTGCTTGGTTTGTTTACATGATCCAGGGATTAATCCATGATTCAGGGAACTGAAGGTGAAAAAAGAACCATTGTCTTCCTCTGTTCCATCTCAGGATAACAGAAGTGATTTATGAGGTAAATCATCAATCATGAACTTAAGTGTGAACTGCGATAGGGAGATTAAAAGTCCCTTCCAAAAAATAAGGAAAAGAGATATTTGACTAAAGATGCCATTTTATAGGATGATGGTGATATTCCTGCCCCCCACTCAGGTTGCATAAAGAAAACTGACACTGTCACTTTGCAGGACAAAGATTCTGGTAGCATCATATTGGGATGAAACTGGCATCTCTTTTCCTACATATTCTCCAATTTCACATGTTATCATTGCATTGTGAGCACCCAAGCACAAGCTACAATGCTATCATCAAATTAATGGCTGATTCCACCCTACCATGAAATTAAATTAATGGGGATATAATTTCAAAACAGTAATGCTGAATAAAAAATATATGGGCACAGGGGAAGAAATACTTCCAGTTTCCATGGTCATGTAAACAAATTTTAGCTACAACAGGTGAGAGAAAGAAAGAAAAAAAATCGTCAAATTCAGACTGGATTAATTAACACATTAATCCATTAACTATGGTTTACAAAAGCACGATGGCTCTATTCACACAACATGTGAAACCAAAGCAAACAATGACGGTTTAAAATGATGGCCTGGTTCACACAACATACTAAGATATAGTATAGTCAATTTGATTTTCCTTTAGCCCCTGTAGGCTGAAAACCATGTTATATAAGCAGAGGGACAAGAGTCAGTGTTCTCAGTTTTGACTTTGAGGTAGTAATTGATTTGTAATGTTTTATTCAATTACACATAATTGTGAGATTTTAGCAAGGAGAGGAGGCTTGTTTCTGGTTGCTGATCTTTAATTCCTATCACTCATTGATATCCAATTATGAGAACAAAGACATTGAGCATGGGAAATATACCATGGGGCCAAAGTTAAAACAATATATATAAGAAAGAGTGGGAGTGTTAAAAATTTATCAATGAAAAGAGATGCAAACCAACACCAACCAAAGCTAATAAAAAACCCTTTTGATTTCCAAAGAACTGCACCAGTTCATTAATTACCTACATCCAAATCATTACCCAATGAAATTGGATTTGTAATCCATAATGTTAAAAAAAAATCATCTTGCATTGCACATAAAATAAATTAATTCATCCATAGTTCTTCAATGTGTGGTTATAGGGCAAGTTGTAGCAGAAGTGCAATTTTGACTTCTCTTCTGAATAAAACATATTTACCATGAGCCAGATAAAAAAAACTAGATTATTTCTTTATGCATATTGTTTCGTGCATGTATTCTCTCTCAAATAGTCATGGCATAATTTTTCCCCCTTGTCTACAAGTCAGTCTGAAAAACTTTTTTTAAAATTCTGCCTTTTAACCAGATACCTCTTTTAAAATTGGTTCAGCGTTGATAAAAGAAGCGTAATTGAAATGAATGTGCATACTCTTAAAAACAACGGCTTTTTCCTCACTTATAAACAAGTTAAAGGGATACTTTCCTAAAACTGGAATGATCCTCAGTGTTTTGGAGTATTAACTTTTTGCGAACTAGTCACTCTCAGCAATTTGAGAAAGGACATCTATATTAAAAAATATTTATAGCAGTATCTGTACAGGTTTTAACTGCTGAAAGTTAAAAAGAATTTATTAAAGTGGTGGCAAAAAGTTAACTGGTATTGTCCCTAAGATGTTGCACAATACTACTGGAGTCCTTCAAGAGTTGAAGAGCTAGTGTGACAGCTCAGGGTACGCTGAGCTCTGATAGTCCCAATTATGACCGGATTTTAAAGGAGAAGTTTCCCATTCCGATGAATTTTCAAAATCTTCCCAAGCCTTTGTTTAGCTGTGGCCATGCCTTTTTTTGTACGTTTCCCTGGAAGTAACGGAAAAGAGACACAGTAAGCCACAAAACAATAGCAACAGCAACCAAAAGAAACTAGAAGTTGAAGACCAAGAAGGATGAAACAAATCCAACTGAAAATTGATTTATAAAACATTCAGCTGCATTTCTCTTTGAAACAAAAGCATTTAACCAATACCCAGTTAAATGCTTCAAGCATCTCTACCTACCCCATAAGGCTGAGGATGAAGAGAATAGTTGCTTATAGCTACCTAATCAATTCAAAAATAAAATAATATTTTAATTTGATAATTCCCAAATTCTCTATATTACAGTAGAATCACATACATCACTAAATTATTGCAGCTCTAACTAATTTTTGCATATACAAATGATGCACCACAAAAGGAACTATTATTGTATCGTCCTCTACACTAAGGTGGAGGATAGACAACATTTTTCTTCATCTGTTGAGAAAAAGCTGCTTAGTTATTCAGTTTCATCCTAAATTTGTTTATGAAACTGATGTATGAAACTGGTACTTTCAGATTAGTGCTTAGATTTTATAACAAGTAGTAAATGGTGTCATCTTCGATTCGAATTTTCAAAAGTATTCTCTTTATGACATCTCCTGCCTGCTCCCTTCATTGCTGCTTCTTGAATTAGGCAAGGTTACAATTTGATCTATCTTGGGACCCATTTCCTAAGTGTTTCTGTGGATAATTTAATCCATTATATATTGTTTTGTCCATTCGTGCCTCTCTCATAATAAAACAAATACCCCGTATGTGCCAAGATACTAGATGGTCAATTCAGGTTATAAACACAATTATTTTCAAATAAAAATGAGTACAATTTTTTTTATCTGAACAACTACAAGTGGGTTTTGTGAATAAACTCTCAGTGACTTGTCAAGCCAAAGATTTATTTTGCATAGATTTTTCAGGATGAGTAAGAAATACAGAGACTGATTATTAATGTTTTATGTCAGTCAAAATCCATATGTAGGCAATCATACTATTGAAAATACACTAAAGTCTTCTCCAAACTAATGCTGTCAAATATATTTGAACAGCAGATCTCAGAATTCCTAGTCAAAGAAAAACAAAACAGAAAAGGTAGCATTTGATCATTAAGAGTAAATGTGGAAGATGGCTTCAAACTGGGCCTTCTCAGGTACTGTTACAGTATGAGGTTGAACTCTAGGGCTTTTCCAAAGGCTGCCAGGATAAGGAATCCAGTATTAACAGAACCTCCGTTTCTGAAAAATCCAGTTGTTATTCATCTAGTTCTTCAAAAGTGTTCCACATCTGTTCACCTTTCCAAACATATATGAACAAATGTCTGGAATATTTACAGCACCAGGAAAGAAAAACAACACAGACTCTGTGGAAGCCATCTGTTCCCCTTTTTTCAGCTGAAATATCCTTATGATTCCAAAGAACCAGATGCTCCTAGTTTATACTACCTGCATGGGTTTTTGGCATATTTCTTTACTGGGAGTACTGCAAGAATCTGAGACTTGCCAAATACTATATGTATGATAATTGTTGGGCAGCAACTAAATGACCTGAAAGCTATATTCAAAGTTTATGTATTTTGATTTTGGTTAGACCTTAAGACAAGGGTCCCCAATACCTGGGCCGCAGCCCACAACTGAGCTGTAGCCCATTTGAGTGGCTGGCCGGAGCAAGTGCACAGCTCAACTTGCACGAGCAGGAAAGCACTTGCACATCTGCATGGTTGCCTGCCACTTGTATAAGTCAAACTTATACGCTTGACTTATACGCCCACTGCTTATGCAAGTTGAGCTGCGTGTGCACGCAAGGACTGAATGCACATGTGCCAGCCCACCACTCAAGCAGCCCAATTCCTCTCCCTCCCCCAACAGGGCCACCAAGCTTGAAGGTTGGGAACCACTGCCTTAAGCGATCCTTTTCTCTATATCCATATTTTACCCAATTCCACTGGGGGAAAAATTAAATTAAATTTGCTTTGCCACTTCTAAGAATGAAAAATCTTTCAATTAGAAAAAAGTTACAAAATACAAAAAGCTAAAATTCTTACAGGTATTATTTAATGAATATCTGAGGACAATTATCTTAGCTCCCTTTGTAATTTCTATGGTACTACCTCTTCCTTTATTTTCTCTGTCATTGTGTAAGAGAAGAGCAGGCTAAAGTAGAAGGCAGAGTTAAATGTGTCGTCAGTTTGAAGTCACTGCATTGCCACAATTCAGCCTCCCGTGAATTCTGTTAAACCTCATTTAATGCCAATTTAGCTTTGATTAGATACTTGTATTAAAAGTAGCAATAATAAACTCTTTTGTGCTTTGAACTCAATGATTATTTGCGCTTGATACACTGAGTCTGCAAGGGAGTTGCCCTCATGAATGTAGCACTCAGCATGGCATGGAGACATCCTTAGTGAAGGTGAACCTCAAATTATCTGAAGATAAGTACTAATTTTCAGACAAATGTGAAGAACATATTGGTATTATTATGATTCAAATTATTACTTGGAAGGTATCTGAATTGGAAAAGCAGGGTTTTAACATCATTATTAACCTAAATGAGTATTTGGGAATTTATTTTAGAAAATACAGAAAGCATTAATTTATACATTTAAATTATATAAATTTGATTGAGTGCCTAATTTTAAAAAAGGTGAAATCTTTCGAGATTCTCCCTTAGACTGATCAGAAATGCCGCATTGGTTTTAATATCTTCAGATAAGTACTGCATTTCAAAACAAACTGCAAAACAGCTTTGACCTCCACACAGTTTATCACATACAACCATAATAAGAATATCTGAAGAGTGGTTAAAAGTAACAGGAGCTCTCCTTCCAACTTGATTACATAAACACTACATAAAATACCCAACTCTGTATTTCCGCTATTGGTGACCCAAGTGATGCTGCGGGTGCCCTCTCATGGTGCCTGGAGGCTGTGGGGGCCGGTATGGGGGAGAACAGGCTGAACCCTAGTAAGACCAAATGGCTTTGAGTACATGGGGCTCCAGGATCCAGGACTTTGTCATGTTCGACTCTGGATGGGGTGGCACTGCCTCAGAAAAACCTGGTCTGCAACTTGGCGATATTCCTGGACTCGCGACTCCTGTTCCAGGAACAGGTGGCAGTCGCGGCTAGGGGAGCCTTCGCACATCTTTGTGTTGTGCACCAGTTGCAGCCTTTCCTGGATCAGGATTCCTTACGCTCAGTCATTCAATCCCTTGTCTTCTCACGGCTGGCCTATTGTAATGCATTCTACATGGGCTACCCTTGAAGAGCATTAACAGATCCCACCTACCTCCCCCCCGCACACCCTCCCCATATGTCCTTGGTTTTAATATCTTTTTACGTTTTTAATTGTATGCTACTGTAAGCCAATACATTTAAACAAACAAATAAAATAAAATAAAATAAAATAAAATAATAAAATAAAATAAATAAAATAAAATAAAATAAAATGAAATAAAATAAAATAATAAATAAAATAATAAAATAAAATAAAATAAAATAAAATAAAATAAAATAATAATAAAATAAAATAAAATAAATAAAATAAAATAAAATAATAAAATAATAAAATAAAATAAAATAAAATAATAATAAAATATAAAATAAAATAAAATAAAATAATAAAATAAAATAAAATAATAAAATAAAATAAAATAAAATAAAATAAAATAAAATAAAATAAAATAAAATAAAATAAAATAAAATAAAATAAAATAAAATACCTTTGATTGGCTGACCAAATCTTACACCATTCTTGAAACAAATCTATGGAGAGTACCTTTGGCAGCTGCATTATTCTGTGATGATGATGAGGCTCTCCGTTGTGTAAGGAAAACTCCCGGGGCCATGGGCTGAGGGCCTCTGTTCATTTGGGCCACCCCAAGAGTGCTGGCACCAGCTGTGTACTCGTGGTCTGCTAAACTACTGCTATGGCACTCCAGCTGAGGTTCAGGAGAGCTGCCTTCCTGAGGGATTTTATTGGCATTGTTGGGAGATAATTTCTTTTTGGTATTCTTTTTCTTCTTGCCCTTTTGCTCCTCCTTTCAAATGATAAGAGAAGGGGAGAGGGAGAGAAAAATAACAATCATTAGCTTTCAAAAGTGATAAACAGTCATTAAGGAAAGTGTCCTGATGTAGGAGAAGAGCAGGCAGAGCTGAGGGTCCGAGTTATACAAATCATTAGCCTAGAGTCATTATGTTCCCTGAAACCATCTAAGTCCAACACCTCAGGAATTCTGTTGAGCCTTATCTGACGCCAATTTAATATTGAACTTTAGTTGACTAGATTCTTGTGGATAGGCTTAAGCAATAAATCTTTTGAAGTTCAAAATAAAATATGGCCCCAATTCTTTGTTCCTGACACCTACTCAAAAAATGTATGCAAGAAAAGTGATGAGCATTGTGAAAAATGCAGACCAAGAGGTATGAAGATATTTTTAAAAAATATACGAGGAGCCGATTTTCTAATCCCACACCAAATTATTTGTCAATAATTTGATTTTTCAGAACCATTCATGGATGTTGATCCTAAAATGTTCCACTGATATTTGCCTGTTGTGTAAGTTTTTCCATGAATTATGTGTGTTGTTAGCTCTGTAATATTTTAAGGTTGCTGAAAACATGTTAATCATTAGAACTGCTTTATACTTTTTAGAAATGTGATTCCTTTGTGATACAGAAAAATACCTGAGAAAATATTTAAATAATGAAACACAGCATTTAGCTTTTAGATGTCATGCATATTATCAAATATCTTGCTAGACAGCCACTACACTTTAAAAAACAAACCAAAACCAGGAAGCTATGGACTTCATTGAGAAGTAATGTGAAATAATGATATCACCCCAAAAAGTGCAGAATTGGTTTCTGAAAGGATACAACCTTTACTGTCCATAAATCCTTAATGCAAATCAATTGATACAACTTCAAAAACTGATTCAGCAGAAAAAAAAAAACCAAGATAGTCCAGTTGCCTTCTGGAAAAATCACCTTTGGGACTAAGGTTTGCAGCAATCTGAAGCTTACTTTTCTCTACTTTGTTGCCCTATTTGTAGAACAATGCATTATGATGTGGTTGGCATGTTTACCTGGGCTGGGCTGAAGACAACTCAGAAGGACACTTCTAGAGTGGCCAACTGGACAGTAAGTATGTACAGTGAGCGGCCTCATTGGAAAAGCAGTGAGTAGAGGGACTGTGCAAAGAAAAGGATAGGCAAATGGCAATAGGGGCAGTAGTGGTAAGGGGAGCAGCAGATCAGGGGCTGCCTGCAGGTATCTGCATTAACCTTCAGGAGGTGAAATCAACAACAATTCCAAAAAGGCCTTCCATTTGAAAGACTAACATGGCATTCCAAGCACAGTTCTCAAAATGATTTAGAGAGACAATCCTCAGCATTGGCTGGTTTTCCATATAATTCTGAGAATTGTAGAATAGAATAATTCTTTAAACCAAAAGCAGGCCCTCCTTTGATCAATCTTCTCATTAGTAATTTGTTCATGGAAAACAATAATCCATGAAATGTTTCCAAAAATAAACATTTTGGGGTAGTATTTGGAAAGCTCACCTGGTGAGATAACTTGGCAGCAGCTGCTGCCAATCCAGTTTCAATAGAAGCAACTCTTGTACCTTCTCGGACCGGTCTGTCCTGCCGTGGTACTGATGGACCAACTCTTGCTAAATGCAGAAGGAAAATTAAACAATAAAGTTAGTAGGTAATAGAGCACATATACAATCCACATATATTGCTTATGACAGGACCATAACTACTTCATTTCAGGCATTGCAGAGAAACAAATGCAAACCCTGTAATATTAAAAAATAAAGCCTCAGCCCTGGTGGCACAGTGGTTAGAATGCTGTATTGCAGGCTGGAGTCCTGCTGTGCACAGTCTGGAGTTCGATCCTGATGGGGCTCAAGGTTGACTCAGCCTTCCATCCTTCCAAGGTCAGTAAAATGAGGACCCAGATTGTTGGGGGCAATAAGCTGACTCTGTAAACTGCTTAGAGAGGGCTGTAAAGGGGTATGTAAGTCTAAGTGCTATTGCTATTCCTATAAATATATAGACTAGACTCACATACACTGTTAAACCTAAATTAAGTAAATATACTACTATGACTACATTATTAAGTTCTTGTAATTAAAGCAAACTTTCCCATAATTTCCACAGTTCTCCCCTCAACCCACCCACCCCATCCCCAGGAGAAAGAACTAGTGCAATTTTGATCATCAGTGTTTCAAAGCATTTTAGAATATTTGGCCCCCAAAAATATAAAAGCAGTGCCATTGTATGATTAGTGCACAAAATACAAAATTGGTCTGAGAAGATCTTAATTAAATCCAGAAAACTTTGTAGAAATTCTTCACGAATACTATGATTCTGATCTCCAAAGTCCAATCCTTAAAATAATCATGATGTGCAGTTCGCTCCTCTCTATCTTTATCTTTTGTAATATTAAAAAGTAATAAAGAAAGCAGACTGGATACTAACAGACCAGGGCAACCTACTCGGGAGCCAGATATTTTCCATATTAAAATTTATTTAATTGTACTTCAATGTATGCCATGTACACATATCTCTGAAATCTATCATGAGTTTATCCTGTATGAATTTGCATTTAAAATATCATAAATATTACCTGTGGGGCTGTAAGGTGCATCATCGGAACTTTTCCTCTTTTTTGATCGAGATTTGAACACTGGATTATCTTCATCTGATTCAAGGGAGGGATAAACTAAACCATGAAAAAAAAAAAAGATAGTCTGGTATACAGTAGCATTCAAAAATTAGGGCAACCCTATCATGCCTGTAGAAAATGGACCAATGTCTCAATTCCCATAAAACAATTTGGCTGCATAACTGACTTTGGCTTTTCCGTGCTATGAACTTGAAGCAGCCACAGAAAAAGCTACTGGCAGACTGAAACCTTTTCCTGCCTCTTCTATGTTTTGCAGCTGGCTGGTCTCCTAAGTTAGGAAAACAGTGGAATAAGGCTATTCAGATAATATGAGACAAAGTTCAGTAGGAAGGAGATAGAGAGCAATGTGATTTATGTTCTTAAACTTTTTCAAAAATATTTTTACTGAATTTTAAAAACATTAAGGCGTCCTGTAAACCATTATTCATAGTCACAAATATGTAAGTAGACCATAATACACTTGCTTAAAAAGAAAAACAAACAGAAAGAACCATTTTCCATTACAAGGACAAAATATCCTATTGCCCTGATATATGCACCTATGCGCGCGCGCACACACACACACACACACACACAAATTCCTCAGTTTAGGACTACAATTGGGACTGGACAGTTTGGCTTCCCCATTGACTTTGCTTGTCAGAAGCTGAATGAAAAGGTCGTAAATGGTGGTCATGGGACCCTGGGATGCTGCAACTGTCATAAATGTAAAGCACCCAATCATGATCAAGTGACCATCGGGACAGTGATACAATGGTAAGTGCAAGGATTGGTCATAAGTCACTTTCTTTAGTGCCATTGTAACTTCAAATTAAGTTTAAGATTAAGTTTAATATGTGTGCGGCATTGGTAGAATTTAAATACATGAACAACTGGTTCTCTGCGTGGATGCCATTTCCAGAAGTCCGTTCTGTGCCTGGGCCTCTGAGGCCCAGAACGGACTTCCGGAAGCAGTGCCCACGCACTTCCGGTGGGCTGCCCTGGACCTCTGAGGCCTCCTCTGGGCCTCCGAGGCCCAGAACAGATTTCAAGAAGCAGTGTCCATGAACTTCCAGAGGTCCATTCTGGGCCTTGCGAAAAAGGGCTAGGGCTTCAGTGGGTGTCAGCCAGTTGGTCAAACTAAACAAAAAGCCAAACCGGTGCAAATCAGCTGAATCCCACCATTGGTGTGTAGGTTGTGTATAAGTGTGTGTATGTATGTGTTTTATAGGTATTCTTTGCTTACTGACTGCCTTGTTTAGGAATTATTTGAAATTACAACAGTGTAAAAAAAAAAACCTTTGCAACCAGCCCTTGTATTTATGACCATCACAGAGCCCCATGGTCATGTGATTGCCATTTAGGCACTTGTCAACCAATGTCCGTTTACAGCCACCTTGATCATTTGCATGTTTTCCAACCAGCTTGTGACAAGCAGAGTTAATGGAGAACATGGACTTTAAATACAAGTCAGAGTCATGTGATATTTCGCTTAACAAGTGTGGTAACTCATTAAATGGGAAGTTACTTTGCAAGTCTGACATGGTCATGTGGTTTTTCTACTTTGTATCTGAGGCACTTAGTGACAGAATTGCTGGTTTCAATTGTGGTTGCTAAGTGAGGCCTACGTGCATGTGTGTGCCGCTTTTTCTGCCACAATGCTCCCTTAATACTCCATTTTTACTTTGTAGGATCATTTCTCTTTTCCATTCAATATTTCCCAGTTTCTAGTCTAAACTGCATTAAAGTTTGAAGTAAATCCAAGTTAACTAGATAACCTATCCAAAATGGAGATTTTGTTTTCATTTCTTCTGTTAGGCCAATGATGTATATACATTGGAAGTAATTGCATCAGTTTAACCGCTGAATGAAAATGTGCTGACCAGATGTGGCACTAATGGAATCTTGGTGGACTAACCATCTTACAACAAAGCAAAGCTATTAAGTGGTAGCATAAATACATAATTAGCAAGAATGTTGATCTCCCCAGAACAAACTTCTCTTCTTTCAGGATGTCACATTTAGAGCGTGTCTCTACATTACACTTTTGCCGAGTTTTAAAGTTAATTTAACTTGAGTGATATGTCTTCAGGTAACGTAATTTTAACATCTGTTTATGTTTTGCTAAATCTGTATAATGGTCACGTTTTCATTTAATTTCAGAGAATTTCAATATGTATATATTCAGTGCATGATGCTGAAAGCAGAGAAAAATTACATCTTTTGAAGGAGTTGTATCAAAGACAGCTATTTTAATGCAATGTTGTGCATGTTCCTAGTAGCTATATATTTCTTAGAAGCTAAATAATACTGTCTGTCTATCTCTGTTTTTATATACATTCAAAGTTTGTCACTTTTTCAGTTTATTTTTTTGCTGCCTTTGAGCCAGTCTTGACTCCTGATGATTGCCTGAACTAGTAGTCTCTGCAGTTTTCTTGGCAATATCTTCAGAAGTGGCTTGCTATGACCTTCTTCCTAAGAGTGACTGGCCCAATGTTATCCCACTGTGTTTCATACCTAAGGGGGGGGGGGCTAAAATTCAGTGTCCCATGTTCTAGACTGGTGCCTTAATCACTACACCAAACTAATTCTCCTTCTATTGATAAAGGTAAAGGTTTCCCCTGTCCAGTCATTTCTGACTTTATGGAGTAGTGCTCATCTCTGTTTGTTAGCCAAGCCAGCCAGCACTGTCTGAAGACATTTCCGTGATCATGTGGCCAGCATCACTATATGGCGAAGAACATATTGGTTACCTTCTCACCAAAGTGTTACCTATTTATCTATTTGCATTTGCATGCTTTCGAACTGATAGTGGGCAGGAAGTGGGGCTAGTAATAGGAGCTTACTCTGTTGCACAATGCTCAATCTTGAACCCAGCCTGTCAGCTTTCCAGCTGACAAGCTGAGTGTCCTTAACCACTGAGCCATTGCACCCTTCCTTCTACTATTATCATTCCAGTAAAAAATGAAGTTATTCTAACTTTGATGAAGCTCTAATAAGTGCTTTAAATCACTCAATCATTAATTTTAAAAGTAGTACACAACTTTCTGTTTTTCTCCCCCTTACCCCAGATCTGAACTGGCACTTTGCAAAATAAGATGCTTTTTAAAATTTGTCAAATATGATACATAATGGACTGGAAATTGACAGGATGATGAAGAGTAACTCTGAGGGGTCTGTCTACACATTTCTCAACTGGGATTATATAGTTGATAAGGGCAATAACTTGCCTGAACAAAAACTTGGGAAAACAAATTTTGTTTTGCATAGCTAAGCTAAAGTGGTGGTTCTGAACTTAACAGATGCCCAGTTCTTGAAATCTGCTTTAATCAATATAAAGGTAAGTTTTTATGCTGGGGCATCAGAAATTATCCTTACACACAGGAACATAAGGAAAAATAATTTGAATTATAAAACCCAGTGTTTTAACAGTGTACAACATAAAAAATCCTGGGTCAAACACCTTTACACTACCCAAGTAAGCAAGCCATACAGAATTAGAATGCCACTTACAAAATTCTGCTATCAAATTTTGCTATCAAATTAAGGCAGAAGATAAGCATGGGAACTGTTAATCAGATAATATGCAGATCTTACACCTTGGAGTTGATATTTAGTTTCCTTCAAACAACTCATGTATCATAAGCCTCAACACTCATTCAAACTTAAGTTTTAGCTGGTCTTACTTTGAAAATTTGAAATCTCTCAGCTGAAAAATTTGTTGCAAACTCCCCTTTCTATGTCACAAAGAGAAAGCATCTGAGCATATGTAATGTTCACTTCGTATCAGCTATGCAGGATAGACCACCGGCAAACATTTGGTTCTCTGCCTCAGGAACTTTGACAAAGAAACAGGTTGCTACTCTTTTCAGCTTTAGAAGAGCTACCTTCAGACATTTCACTGCCTTTCAATAATTATTGCCCAGGGGAGAACTTAAGCAGGATTTTCATACCATAATCAGAATCTTTAAAACAGGCATCTAAGTGGTCCTGGTCTTCATAATAATCTTCAATATCAATGCTGTTTTTTGCAGTCTTTTTCAACAATCGTTTGCCTGCATTTTTGCTATTGCTGCTGCCAGATTTTTTGGAATTGGGGGCAGACATGGAATTATTCTTAGCTTGATTGGTGCCCCATGAAGGCTGTAGGCAAGAGTCTGAAGACTGGAGATTTGCCATTGATAACATCCCTTGGATAGCTTCCTGTGTGCTGGGAGATGCCGGTGGTTGACTAAAAGAGAAGAAAGAGGAAAAAGAGAAACCATTCAAAATTAAAGCAAATATAGGAGTTACAGAATAAATAGATAATATTAAAAAAAATTGCATCTAAGTCATCCACTGTAATATGTGTGGCTTTTTTCCACCACCTTCTTAGGTCAAACAGATCAAATCCACCCCCCCCCCCCCCCCCGTAGGCAAATGTATAGGATCAAATTAGACATTGTGGAGAGAAACATAGAGAAACCAGGAGAAGGGATTTCAGAGGCCCATTTGAAACATGAGAGTACTTTCAACTCCCATCTGAAGTTACAATAACTTTCAACATTTCTTTCTTCTAGGGTAAGATAGAATGAAAGAAACAGTTTTATCAATTGAATATTTTAATTGGATCCATCCGTTATATTTAAATACATGTACAATTGTCATGAAAATTCTAGAATGGATGTTGTGATGTTATATTGCATTGCTAAATTCAGAATTGTGGATGGTTTTTTTTTCAATTGATTCAAATGCTATTGTATTTTTTTCTTACAAGGTAACTTGTTAAAAGGGATGAAATAGGTGACAAACAATTCCAGAGAGAAGCACATATTTTTCTCCTCCTAATCTCTCATTTTGGTTGGCTGTAACTCTCTTGTTTTGTTTATTTTCAACAACAATGGGTTCTATCAATTTACTCTAACAAAGTATTATCTAAATAATTCCAGTTAGTTTTTTTTCAAGTGAGAAACACTGTAGGGAAATGGAAATTTGCATGTAATACTTGAAAACAAAACAAGACAAGAAATGAAAGTCCAAGAAAAATCTCTTCGAGAACTGCAGGGAACAAGATCAGATCTGCATCACAGAATCTATAGATCACTACAGATGACAGTATAATTCCAGATGCCATTGGGGTAGCTGTTTACAGTTCCACACTGCAATGTTGCTGATTCCACAATGATCTGCATGAGTGAAGGAAATACTTTCTCTGACTTCATCATAACAATCATCAACCAAAATATGCAACAGAAAACTTGATAAGCCTGGAATGTTTTAAAGCAAAGATCCTTGGACTGATAAAACCATAATTGCTTTGGCTACAATTGCACAAGTTACACTGGGGGGGTGGGAGGTGATGAAAGTGGCTCTGTTATGCTTTGGTATTGTGTGACAGTCTTTGCCATTGAAAATGCTGGCGGGTGGGGGGGAAGATTCAACTAAATATCAACATACCCTAGTATCTAATGTCCCACAGTCAGTGAAGAAACTGAAGTTGACTATAAGCTGGCTCTTTCAGCAAGAAAGCAAACCAAACTACTATATGTTTTCAAATCAACCATGAAGTATTGACAGGAAAGAAAAGTAAATGTTTCATACTGGCCTACACAGCTGCAGAATATTATTAAAAATTGGGGTGGGGGGATTTCAGACATGCAATGCGTATAGGAGATCTATTTCTGATCTAGAAGACCTCTGCAGGAAGAATTTTTTTCAAAAAGAAAAGAAGTCCAAAGGCTCAACTGGCTACTATTTCCACCAAAGGTGTTGCAAATTACTGATTGAAAGGGAGTTTTGCACCTGTCGTGATCATTGTTTATTTTGAGTGCAAAAGCAGCTGCCCATAAATAGTCAGCATGCATTCATATTTGCAGAAAGATATGTTGTTGAGCTTTGTATCATGCTAATGTATCAGCGTCCATGCAACTGTATTTATAAGTCAATTTTCTTGTGAGGAGCCCTGAAGAAATGAAAACAGCAACGGTAGCTCTTTTTAGTAAGACAGGATATGGGTGAGCACTTGCTTCCCCTCATTAAGAAAATGAATTCAAAAGAAAAATTAGTGAAAAGAGAGCCAACCTATCAACCTATTCTAGAATATGTTAGAATCAGGAAAAGCACCCTACGATGTTCAGCAGCTTATGTTTGGATCACTTTGGGATGGAGTTGGTGTTTTAAGGAATTTGTCCTTTTTGTAGTGCTATGCCAAAAATTAGCAAACCTGATTTTATTACTATCATCAACTCCAAGAGCATTTAAGACATTTGTTTGTTTTCTCAGAGAGTTCTCTTAAAACCTTGAACCTTGAATCAAATGTAAATGGACCATCAAAAGTTGCCTGCCAATTGGGAAAATTAGAGGGGAACTGCCTAAAGGAAGGTGAGTATAGCAAATAAATTGTGGGATCTGATCAAAACCAGTGGCTGGACAGGCGGAGGGAAACCAAGTTCTTTACAAATTCTTAAAGTGACAGAGCATTCAAGCACGAACTCAAATGGAAGAGTCTCCTAAAGGATTGGGTTGTTTTGTTTTTGTTTTTTTTTAACTGAACTGCCTGTCACTTTGCCTTGGGCTTAAAGATCCTGTTGCCCTGTTCTTAAACAATTTCCTTAATATCAATAAGATCTGTGCAAGAAATGTTTACATTGGATTGCGCCCAATGTGTTTTTCATTAAGGATATTTGCATGTTAGCAATTCTGGATCTGCTCAAAGTGAAATATAAAACAGGAAACAATTATTAAACCCTGGAAAATCATATCCCCTGTTTGTACTTTTAGTGATTATTAGCATATATTTTTCTTTAATGAGAGCAAATGCTGAAAGAAGAGGATTTTTTTTATATGTAGTGAATGGCTGGTGCAGAATTCTACACATCATTAAGATTGGTTCTATGGCTGAATATAATAACATAATCATAGATTTTAAAACATATGTGTGATAAGTTTTGACTGTCACAATTTGACAGTCAACAAAAGGTGAGGAGGAAGATATTTGAGCAATTTGTTCTGTTTATAACTTGGTTCCCAGGCCTACCCACCCCGTCCCTTCTTCTTTTTATTCTTATGTTTATCAATGTAAGTTTGTGTTGATCCTTTAATGCTTTTGTATAGGATTCTGTTGCACTATTATTTTGTCAGTTAGTACTAAATAAATTTAGTGACAGATTTTATCTTCCTGGGCTCCAAGATCACCGCAGATGGGGACTGCAGCCATGAAATTAAAAGACGCTTACTCCTGGGGAGGAAAGCTATGGCAAATCTAGACAGCATAGTAAAAACCAGAGACATCACCCTGCCAAGAAAAGTACATATAGTCAAGGCCATGGTTTTCCCAGTTGCAATGTATGGCTGTGAAAATTGGACCATAAGAAAGGCTGAGCGCCAAAGAATTGAGGCCTTTGAACTATGGTGCTGGAGAAGACTCCTGCGAGTCCCTTGGACTGCAAAGCGATCAAACCGGTCAGTCCTAGAGGAGATCAACCCTGACTGCTCTTTAGAAGGCCAGATCCTGAAGTTGAAACTCAAATACTTTGGCCACCTAATGAGAAGGAAGGACTCACTGGAGAAGAGCCTAATGCTGGGAAAAATTGAGGGCAATAGAAGAAGGGGACGACAGAGAATGAGGTGGCTGGATAGAGTCACTGAAGCAGTAGGCGTGAGCTTAAATGAACTCCAGAAAATGGTAGAGGACAGGAAGGCCTGGAGGAACATTGTCCATGGGGTCGCGATGGGTCAGACACGATTTCGCAACTAACAACAACAACTAACTAAATTTAAAAAGGTACATAGAGAGGGGAAGTATGCAAAATGCAGCTTTTGCAGTAAAAAATACTTATATCTAATTTGACTTGTGTCAAAACTATTATTAGTTCTGTCATTCTGCCAGCTTTGTCTTGAATAAAGAAACTTTAACTGTTCAGTTCATGCCTCATATGTAATTTTTAAAAAGTTCTATATGTAATTACAAAAAACATTTCTCTGCGAAGAGAACATAATTACAATATAAATTCCAGTGCATTACGAATAATAATTATTTGTCTAAAAGTGAAGTATAAAAAATTATTCCAGTTCTTTTATCTAGACACAGTCCATTTGTTTTTCCATTTCTGCTATATCAAGAATCTACTTTATTCAGAATAATTCAGAAAAGCAACACGATTGTGATAAAAGTATTAGAAACCTTATTGGGGGGGAAATTTGGTGACCTTTGTACCTTGATATATTATTTCTACAGTACAGGTCCACAAATTTGTGCCTGTTTGGAGATTCTCCAAATACAATTCCAATTTGCAAAGTATAGCTTGCTTTCTATAGGAAGATCTAGCATCTCTCTAGCTATGAATCTAGTATCAATACCTGCATCTTTGTGTATGGTACTACTTGTGATTTCAGAAGGGCAACACTGATATAGAAACCTATTTAGATGAATAGTACTGTCCAGTACTCATCAGGTGTAGTGATGAGTACTAGTCAAATCAACAGCTGTCTTAGTTTTCTAAATTGCTTCAGAACAGGGCTAACCCCTGTGAGATACTGTGAGATACTGTGAGATAATTGTGAGATAACTGTGAGATACTGTAGAGCAGCAAAGCTCAGCCACCAGACACTTGTGGTACAAAGGATTGTTCCAACAATGGAAGGGGTATTTTGTCCACAAACTTCTCAAACATAGATTTAATAACATCTGTCAGATTTGCTTGACCAACTCCAAATTGATTTAGAAATGCTTCTCAATGAAATACAGAATGATTTATACCTTGAGTTTTTCTGGAATTTTATTTATTCCTAATAACTTGTTTGAAGCAAACTTGTAAGGTCCTACTTTGAAATTAATTGCGAGATAAATACAGTATGCAGCCTAGCAAAGTATCCCTTTTATAAAAAAATATATATTAGTCAAATTAATTGTCCTAACAAATCAGAGATTATCAATTCAATGGATTACTAATGGTTGCACATACCACACGGTTAAGCTACAAATACTGGAACTAAGGTAATGCCCTAGGATAGCTAAATTAGACTGGGAAGTGGGGAGAGCTAAGATTTGCATTTGCCTTTGAGTGGGATATTGAGGGTGAATCTCAAAAGGTAGACCGAATCAGATGAGCCTCCCAAATTTAATTATATTAATGCAACATAAATTGTATCGAATGAATACATATAATTATTCCTGCACATTTAATCATTTTCCCGGCAACTACATTAAATCATTATAATATTGTGGCGACCTTTGACTGGGTTCTGAGGGCCATGGCTTTTAGGGGTTGTATATGATACATTGTAAAAAAGAATCTACCAAAACTGGTTAAATCTTTATACCTACCCAAAACGTTATCTTTTAACCACTAAACTATGTTATGTGAAATGTAATTCATAAGGAACAGGTTTTAATTCTTCACTGAAGAATTCAGGTTACTTTGAACAACCTTAAATGAACCAGTGAAGTGGAAGGTGTCTCAGGAAAGCTTCTGCCAGAATATATTTACTCATCTTTAAGATGCCACAATAGTCTCCATCATTTTTTGATATAAAGCAGTGTTTCTCAACCTTGACAATTTTAAGGCATGTGGACTTCAACTCCCAGAATTCCACAGCCAGCATTGCTGGCTGTGGAATTCTGGGAGTTGAAGTCCACATGCCTTAAAATTGTCAAGGTTGAGAAACACTGATATAAAGAGTAATTTACAGACAGAGAAAATGCAGTTTAAATGTGAAGAGATAGGTTGTGCATCTTGATTGGGACAGGAAAAGGAGGTTTAGATTACCTGTGGGAATCCATATGTGCACCTTTCAGCAACTCCTTTGAAAAAAAACAGATTTGTCTACGTTTTTTCCTGCGCTTTTCAAACCAACTTTATCTAGTGCATCCTTTCAATGAACCGATAATTAGGAAAATGAGCAAATGGATAATATATATTTTGCTACATAAATTGATTTTTATATCCTCTTAATTAGATTATTTAAAATATAACAGGATTTTTATTACTATGGTGCATCTCCCAACCTGGCTAAACTTTCACAATATACTGAAGTCTTGGATGTTTCCCCAGGCATCTGAGTCTGTGTTGTGATTGATATGGTCTTTGTTTATTCTTAGGTGGACTCACTCACATATGGTGGGTTCTCTTAATGTTTTAACCTTTATAAGATACTCAGCTTCACTTGTGGCAGCTATATAAATCAAATAAATATTATAAATACATATTATTTAAAGAAAAGAGGTTAACCATCCTTATGCATACCTACCTGTTGCTGTTGTACTCTAAGCCCCCAACTTCCTTGCTTGCCTGCAAAAGATCTAGGATGCCCGCTGAACTTGCAGTCTCTTTCTTCGCCTTAGAATTGCGCCCTGGCTTGGCCTCGGTGTCAATGTGAAGAGAATCTTCATCAGAGGAGTCATCACTCTGCAAAAATCAAAGGAAAAGAGTATAACGCACAGTCACTCGTGCCCTGATCATCTCCAGAGTGGATTACTATAACATGCTTTAGACAGGGCTGCTCTTGAAAAGCATCCGGAAGCTTCAGATGCTGTGGAGTGCGGCTGCATGGACAGTGTGGTGCATGTCACATCTCTGTCCTTGAGCTATGCGGGCTGCTAGTCTGCTTCTGGATGCAATTCAAGTTGCTGGTTTTGAGCGTTAAAGTCCTACATGGCATGGGACCAGGTTATTTGAAGAACCACATTTTCCCAATTATATCTACGTGTCCCATTAGCCCCCCCCCCATGGGTTCCCAGAAGTCATTGAAAAAATCATGCTTAACCTTTCTGGAAGGTTAAAAGGGGCAGGATTCTCTGGGTGGGGGCGGGATGATGCCTCAGATAGCAAAGTTCACTGTGGAGAAGACATGTCTTCTCCACAGTGGACTTTGCTATCTGAAGCATCATCCTGCCCCCCACCCAGAGATTAGCCCCACCCCTTTTAACCTTCCAAAAGGGCTAAGCATGATTTTTCCAGTGACTTCTGGGAACCCAAGGGTGGGGGGCTAGGAGATGGTTGCTTTGTATTCTCCCCTGTCTTGGTTTTTCTATTTTTTTATTTTTATTTGTACTTTTTAGCATTTTAATGATTGCTACACTGTTTTGGTTCTCACTATGATTGTACATTGCCCAGAATCATGTTCTGTGAGATGGGCAGCTATATAAACCTGCTAAATAAATAAATGAATAAACATTGTACTAATTGGACTTATTTGACAGATATTATTAGAAAAATGGTTTTTGCACAATAAACACTACTTTTAATCATCTAGAAAGACAGATTCTAAATGTTTCTATTGAATTCTGCTGATGTATTAAGAAGAAGACGATTCTTGTTTGGCTCTATATCCTCAAATCCAGTTCCTGAAGATTCTCCAACTCACGGAATTATTAATTAATTATTATTAAGAAGCAAAGGGTTGGTTGCCCCAGAGAGGGGAGAAAAAGAAAAACTCCTGTCTTACTTGAAGGCCACTAGAGGGGCACTAGGTTCCAGATTGAAGCTGTTTCTATAAACCAGTCAAATCCCTCATCTAACTACTGGTAGCATAACATTAACATTTGACTTGTAGTAGATACCCTGAGTGTCAGCAGAAAACGTCCTCTACCCTGTTTGGAGAAGTTTTTTTTTCTGTGTAACCAAATGATAAATACAATATTGTGTCAAAATGTATTTATTCATCACTGGAAAAGACACTTGATGGAATGGATTCTTCCTAGAGCTATAAATCCATTCCGGAAGACTGAATTGAAGAAGATTGCAAGGAATTAAAGATAAATGAATAGAACTTTCTGTAGCATACAGACATATGTTAATTTCTACAGGGAAAGAAATGTACTGTAGAGAGAAAATACTTTTCTTGTCAGTGTCTAAAAGCAATAAATATGTAATGTATGTTTATAATTTTGGTAAGTGGCACAAATCCTTTTAGATATGAGAATGATTATATATTGAGAGAATACCTTGTATAATACTGATTCCACTTTTGGCTTCTTCACTGGAGTGTGCTGTGTGGTCTCTTTTTTATCTGATAAAACTGGGACGAAATTGAAATAGAGATTTTAACTTTAAATACTAAATAAAAAACCAGCATGTAGGCAATCCATCTCATTTTTAAAATGTATTTCCAATTACCCTGGTAATATTTCATTTCTACACATGCACTCTTAGCTAAAAGGTCTTCATGCACATGTACTGAATCATTCCCAAAATATAACAAATCTGCAAATAGGTTAAACAAAGCTGGGGGGAAAATAATACTGTCCAAACAATCAGACTCACACCTGCAACAATATGTGACTTGACTTTTGCAACTCTTTAAGGGCCACACAGAGACTTTGGTAGTCATTACTTTGAACCGAAAGTTATCTTCATCTCACTTTGTTTTGTTTTTGCTTTGCTGTGATGAATAGCATAATTTACACAAGAGTAGAAACAGTCTTACATGATAAATCTCTTTTCGTGGTGTTTTTCTTCCTTCTAATTGGAAATTCATCTATCTTCAATTCTCCATCATCTGAGACATATTCATATTCGTCTTTCACAGGTTTTGCTTTATCTTCTTTGAAATTTTGCTGTGACCCAAATATACCAGGATTCAACTGAGTTTTCATTCCCTTTGATCTATTAAAATAAAGGAAATTGAATCAGGAAGGGCAATACTGAAACAAGTTTTAAATAAGAAATTTCATCGTATTACAGCCATTTTGACCTATGGTAAATAACGAATATTTAGAATTCACAAGTGGGTATATGTAGAGAAACAGTGCACTACATAAATACATTTTCCAATATTACTGGAAAGCAGCCAGCAAGATATACTATATGGTGTAAGAGACCAAAAACACATCCCTTCTGGGGATTTCTTTAATCAGCTAGGTATCTAAAGCCATCATTATGCCAATCACAATCACCAGCAACACCAGCAGCATCCCAGATCAACCCAGTGCAGAATGAATCATCATTGAAGAGGATAGGCAGTCATCTATCACCCTGGGTTCAGTACTGACTGGTAGAGAGTTTTTCACTTTCCAATCTACGGAGGAGAGACAGTGACCAGCCCAAAGTCACCCAGCCAGTTCCTGTGCACAAAGGACAATTAGAATGTGGATCTCACTGCTTCTAGTCCAGCATTTTAACCACTACACCACACTACCTTTAAATATATTAATGGTGCAAACAAGGTTCTAGAAGGAAATATTTTAAATGTTAAACAAAAATCAAGAACACAAGGGCCTAACCTCAAACTGACAGGAGGGAAGTTCAAAAGTAATGTTAAAAAGAATTGCTTCACGAATAGTGGAAGCTTGGAACCAACTTCCAGAAGAGGTACTGGGTCAGTTCTCTTTAACTGAGTTTAAACATGCTTGAGATAAACATATGTCCATCATCTGACAAATTTGTTTTTAAAAATCCCTCACAGGGCAGACTCGATGGACCACTAGGACTTTTTCTGCCATCAGTTTTCTGTTTCCATATTTTTACCTCTGGCTCTCTCTCTCAAACAAGCACACATGCACGTTACATGGTACAGTTCAGAAACATAACTTTTACTGAGGAAGTGAGATATCACACTCCAATTATAGGAGGAAAAACAGTAGAAATAAAGAGGGTAAAATTTATTCTCATTAGAAAAAGATACAATTTCAAATTTGTTATTATAAATGAGACATTAAGTAATAAGTATTCTGCTTATTTCATTTTCATTCTTCAATTCATTTGCTAAACTACAAGTTTTATCTGTTCATGCACATGACTGTAATCCCTGAAATAAGTTCAGGGATTCCTTGGTATACATACTGTGCCTGGATCAGTGTGGTAAATAATGGTCCATTGCCTTCGATAAAGAGGCCTTATCCTGCAGTGGATTTATTTGGGATAGTGATAACAATAACAGTAACATGGTATGGAAGTGTATGTTCCACAAACCATGACAGTCAATTTGATTTCAGCAAAAGTAGGTTAAATTGATAATAATCACTGAAACTCTCTGGCAGTGAGTCAGCAGCAGATATGCTTAGGAAACAATCATTTGAAAAGTTATTCTGCACAACTCCCCTTAGAATGAATGAGAATTGTCTAAGGGCACTTCAAGTGGGCACCCACAATGGAGCTTTCCAAGCCAATTGTAGTAGTTAAGGTGCTAGCCTAGAAACCAGGAGACTGTGAGTTCTAGTCCTGCCTTAGGCATGGAAGCTGACAGATGATCTTGAGGCAGTCACTCTCTGTCAACTCAATCCACTTCACAGGTTGATGTTGTTGGAAAAATAACAGGAGGCAGGAGTGTTAAGTACATTATAAAGTAACAATGGTGGCATAAAGGACTAATAAATAGTGAGGGAAGTTGTGGTACCTATTTTCTCCTTGTTTATAGTTTGGTCAATGTAATAAGTCTATAATAAAATCAATTATATGTCCGGTTTAAATAGAAATATCAAAGATAGATTACTAGAGAATCAAAAAAATAATTATGAATAAAATTTCTCTCTCTTTTATGTGGCAGGTGGTATTAACCTTTTTGCTAAGAGAATCAACTTAAATATAAGTATTAATGCATGATCAACATAGGTAGACTAGCATAGATTATAATAGTCTATCCCAGGGATAGGCAACCTTGGCTCTTTTATGACTCGTGGACTTCAAGTCCCAGAATTCCTGAGCCAGCCATGCTGGCTCAGGAATTCTGGGACTTGAAGTCCACGAGTCATAAAAGAGCCAAGGTTGCCTACCCCTGGTCTATCCTAATACCGACTGCTCTTAATATTAAGTGATTTATTTTAAAACTCATTTGATAACTAGGTGTTCATTTGCTAGGAATTGATCAACCTCTATTGATCTTGAATGTTAGAAAAAAATGTACTTATTAAATTCAAATACAACACCATCTGGTTCACAATATCATATATAAAAATTCTGAAATAAATAGTCCATATGCATTTTGTATCTGTAAAAAAATATGAAAAATGAAAGATGCTTTCAACCAAATGTTCTATTATTAATATCTACTAGTACTATTGAATTCAGTTTTTGCCAACTGAGCAGTATCATTAGTATCACTAAAAAGAGATTTTCTTACTTCTGAAGAAAAATCTGAACAAAGGTAGCAAAAATGAGTTCATTTATCTTAGTTGTCAAGGCACAGCATGAAATAATTACTTTCAGGTTAGACTGAATGAAATGAAATGTTATTAATGATGGTGATAACATTGATTAAAGCAATTGCAGATGTTTAAGACTGTTAAAAATTGAGAGGGAGGGTGATGACCTGGGATTGTATCAATATGAAAGTACATGTTTATGGTTAAAGATAAGTAGCAATCCATTATGTCTTCTATATTCCTTTCTATCCTTTCCCCAAATTATAAATCAAAAGAATGAAGGCAAATTGAAGTCAGAAAAAAGAGGAGAAGGAATTTATTATGGCTGCCCACTCCAGTAGAATCAAGGCAAGAATGAGAGACAGAAGATCTTAACAGCAAGTCAGCACCTACAGCATGATGCAATGGCATCTGTAGATTTCCAAATTAAAATATTCTTGAAGCTGTTCTTGATCCAACACTACTTCTCACCAGGCATTGCTAGGACCACTCCTTCCCCATCTCCAAAGAAACTAGAACCATAAAGAAAACCTAAGGCTGCAAATGGAAAATCTTTATCCTAACTTTGAATCAGCCATGCCTGACTTGGGACCATGCCAATTTTCTAGTAAAGGCAGGGTACCTGGGCCTCTGCATTCTCACCAGTGTGAGAAAAAACATTGGAAACCAGGATCTGAAGACTGCACCATCAAGTCTGATGCTCTAAGGCCAAGACTATGTCAAAGGGATCGACCAGTCATCTATCAGTTCTTCACTTTGCCTGCTATGCTTGCAATTTTATCCAAAAATGAAATATTTATTGACAGGTTTTTTTAAGAGTCAGCTTTTAATTAGACTATAGCTTTAGCATTTCTGTATCTTCACAGAGATGCATCATTTCTGGATACATTATTCTTTTCTAATTAAAATCAAAAAGGCCTATAATTGTGCCTTTGCTTATTTAGTCCTTAATTATACATGCTTTTATGCTGCTTTGGTCATTAGGACTTTTAGCAACTCATAATCAACAATAAAGTACAGTAGAAATAAAGTACAATAGAAATAACACAATAGAAATAAAATAGAAATAAATCATACTATTAAATATACCTTGCATTATTGAAACAACAATTCGGCCTATGATCATCATGAAAGATAGCACCAAATATCATCAGAACAGTGTCATACATTGCAGACACCTCCCAAAAAACCTCAGACCCCTAAAGCTTTTTGAAGGAGTCAGTTCTTCCGTCCCTTTCTGATTGAGAGAAATTAGACTCATATCTTTTATTTATTTGTTTTTTCCCCATGCCATGGGACTTGGGGCAAACAACGCTTCCTTCCTTCCTTCCTTCCTTCCTTCCTTCCTTCCTTCCTTCCTTCCTTCCTTCTTCCCTCCCTCCCTCCCTCCCTCCCTCAACCACTTCATCACTGAATCAACTTGGACTACTTCTGAAGCCACCTAGATAGGATCAAGTCATTTCTGGAGTTCTAGATCTAAATAACCCAATGGAATAAATTTGATCTAGTTGTTAAGGCATTAGGTTAGAAACCAGGTGACTGTGAGTTCTAGTCCACTTTAGGCAGGAAAGCCAGTTGGGTGACATTGGCCCAATAACTATCTCTCAGCCCAATCACATAGGGTTGCTGTTGTGGGGAAAAATAGGAGAAGGAAAGAGTATTAGGTATGTTTGCCACCTTGAGTTACTTATAAAGTAATACAGGCAGGGTAAAAATCTAACAAATAAATAAAACACTAACTGTGGTACACATCTATGCTTAAGTCTGAGTCATCTTGTTTTCATGCAAGTGTTCTTCAATGAGTTAAAAGCAGCAAAGACAACACTTTATATCCATCCTCCTTTTTCTTCCCTTTCATTCTATTACATGAAGCACAAATATGTTTGGACATATCTACTTATATTTATGGTTTAACTGGGAATAATATAGGATGCATCTAGTAAATTATGAAATGTGGAAGGCTTGCAAAAATCAAACCAAGTACTGGTTTTATTAGTCAGTGTTCACCTACCCCAGTAATTTCTTGTTGGAGAAAGAAAACATAAATTTATTGTCTTTATTTCCTGACAGTGGTGTCTTTTCCAGTTTGTGCTCCTCTTCCATTTTCAGTAATGAATCAGGTTTACTGTTCTGAAAATTAGAAGGCAACAGTTATTATCTCAGCTGCAAGACTATTTGTTGCTTCATAGAATCAATGGAATATACTGTAAATAGCACAGGGTACATCCCAGCTTTTCTCCCTTAAGAACTGTTCTGACTCATATAATCTGTTACAAAGTGAAAATACATATGATGATTTAATTGGTAGTAGGGCTGCTCAGGAAAACCCTAAAAAGGGTACAACAGGGGTACTGAAATGATCCTCATAGTTGGCTGCTTAAAACAATAATGTTCCTTGGAGCCTTAAAACTGCCATGGAGTTTTAACTGCAAACTAAAACATTGAGTTCAATTTTATGTGAGAAAACTAAGAGGAAAACAGAAGGAAATTGGGGGGGGGGGTGTAGAAAACAATTACTATTCCACTTGATATGTATCCACTGGACACAAGATATTGATTAAAAAATGTTTTATCTTAAATTTCCAGCAACCAAATCCAATGGGCCATGACATTTCACACACTGGATATGCAACTGGATCCTGCAGAATAGCTCACATCTTATTTTGTATAGATGTGAAAATGGGAATCAGGCTTTAGTGAGATTTATGATGAGACAGGGTATAAGAGACAGGGCTGAATCGCATGCTAGCTATGTGCCTCTGAATGTTGCGTTGATGAAAACTATCTCCTAAATTGTGAAATGAGTGTGCATCTATAGGATCAATTAAAAATACATCAGTATGATGCAAATGGGACTGTACATTTATCAAGTGATTATACTAATTGCACAGTAAGTTGAATTATGAGTTCTCTTGTGAGGATAGAAGAATTTCAATTTACAAAATGAAATCCAATGCACAATATAGCTGAAAGAAAAGAGTCAGGAAGCATTTTTCACTTATTTTTCCTGCCACACTGCAGAATCCTATTCAAATCTCCTTTTCACTACTATACTGGTATTTCAAAATTATTTGGAGAAAGAATATCAGCAAAGATTGCTTCTTTTTTCTCACCTTAACAGAGGTTTTTCATAAGTAGAACTATGCTAAGGATATATTCTTGCAAATATTGCATTACTTGATATTAATTATTGTTTCTCATACATACGCTATGATTCTTAACTCCGAATAATTTCTTGGGCTAATTTATTTCATTGTTAATGATTTAATCAATTATCTTTTTACGCACTGTTTCGTATGCTATATTAATTGCAAACTGTCTTTAAATATTGTTTGTTAACAAATGGGCAGCATATATGTCAACAATTAAATAGTTGACTGTGGTTGAATTGAATCTGGAAAAAATCTTTTTTGCAATCATTTTTGCCAATGAAATCCTACCCCAAACAGACAAAAAATGATCAGTCAATAAATGAAGTATTTTACTAGTATTGGAAAAAAAACAACCCTCTTTTTTTTCTGTAACACCCCCCCCCCCCAAAAAAAAGAGACTGGACAGAGAAACAAAAAAAAAACAAATTAATTTTCTGGTATTTTTTCAGAAAAGAAGAGGTCAAAGGTGCTAATGATATGTAGGAAATCTTGCTCTCACTCTCAGTTAGTTTTGTGATAATCATTTCGGAATACTCAAAATAGAAAAAAAAGAGCTACATATTTGAAAATGTTAAATAAAAAAATTCTTAAAGAAGCAGTTTGTTGGAGCAGCAAAAGCATCTAAACAGCACCCCCCAAAAAATGTTAGGAGAACTTTCAGAAAACATTTCTCGAATCTGTATCCTTTCTTTATGGTACAACATTTTATAATGAGCACTAAACATAAGTATGGTCGTTAACTGAAATGTTTATTGAAGCCCAAGATAGGAGAGGCTATACCTTATATTTCCATTTTGCTTCTGTTTTGGATTTATTCTGCTCCCGAATCTCAAACTTTTCCACTTCATTTTGTTTATCAATGGGTTCTTTATTAGGGGTGTTCAAAGCATTCTTGGCAGCCTAGTTAAAAGCAATAAAGAGATTGGCAGATAATTTCAGATGAAAAGACAACAAAACATGTCTTCTACTAATTTCCATATGTCAATTGGACTAGTATGAATTTTCAAAATAATGGGAGCTAAGATGCATCCAGAAATAATATGACACTAAAAGTTGAAACATCAAATTTCATCAAACCAAAAAAAAATGTTTTTCTTTATTTTAAAAGGTGCAGATAATAAGGAAAATGGGTTAATCTGCCAATTTAATCTATTATTTGGCATATCATGAACCAATTCTCACAACCTGTGCAATCCAAAGCAATCTCCTACAGGTGGACTAATCAAAAACAAAACTTCATTACTTCATTTAGTCCTAGAAATCCTTAATGAAGTAATGAAGTTCTGTTTTTGATTAGTCCACATGCTGGCGATCTCTATGGGTTGCACAAGTTGTGTGAAAATTGGCTCAAATTCTTCATAGTGCCAGTGACACTAGTAAAAAGTACTACAACCTCCCACCTTAGACCCCACTCTACTGTGATCATCCACTGATTTATACTATAAAACAAATCAACAACCTAGTAAAAAGCACAGACAGAAAACTACCATATCTAATTTCATGAAGGGAACCTATACATAACCAGGGCAGCAGGAAGTCAAGGGCATGGACTGAGCTGGGTATATCAATTTTGGAAATTATGTTTATAAATTATGCTTGGATATGAAGAATTCTGAAGCTCACACATTCCCATGAGATAAAGAGGAGACCGTCTACCAAGAGGTCTCTGGCCCCAATTTAATTTATTACTGAACATTAACTCTGCTCACCTTTCCCTTCTTTGGTGTTTCAATCTTAGTTAGGGCCTCTTTTGTGTGGGCCTCAAGAAGGTCTAAATTTGGAATGGCAGGTTGAGGTGGTTCTTTAACTTTTTTGCCTTTTTTCTTCCCTTCCCCCTTTACTTTTGGGGTTTTGGGGGGCTTGGGGGGTTTAGGGGGCTTGGGAGGCTTAGGTGGCTTGGGAGGTTTAGATAGTTTGGTGGGTTTCAGTGCTTTTATTGCTTTGGGGGTCTTTTTCTTAGGGACTTTTTCAGCGGTTGGTGGTGGAGGAGGAGGAGATGGCGGTGGTGGTGGTGGTTGTGGAGGCGGCGATGGTGGCGCAGGAGGTGGTGGAGGCGTTTGTGGTGGAGGTGACGGTATTTCTTCTTTCTCCGCAGGGGTGATTTCCACAACGTTCACATTAACACCCACTTCAGGTTTGTTGACTTTCAAAGCATTCTTCAGGAAAAGAGAACGTAAGCATATTGTCAGATATAACTTTCATATTTTTGTCGCTACAAAGTAGCTGATCTTCAACATTATTTTCAGAATTTCCCCAGAGATTTCTAAAGAGGGTTCTACTGAAGATTGACAGTACTCAGAGAGCAGACTAGAGTTGCTTCATGATTTTATCTTATCTTGTTCCACTTATGACAACTGTAGAAAACTGAGGATATAAGCCATTCTACGGTTACTCTCCTATAGTTTATTCCTAAATTTCATGATGGGGCTGAGAATATTGAACCCAAATGGTGTGATTCATGGAACACAGTTTATACCACTTACTGTTTCATTTTGTAATTTGCAAAGTGTTTTTATTTTCTTACATGTAATATTGCAATAAAGCAATGCCATTTTGACATGTTTTTCAGAAAAATGTCCCTTATATACCAACATGAAATGTTACATACTTTGGTTCTGAGCATTAATGTGTAGGTTGCCTTTATTTCTTCGTATGTGTTGTATAGTTTCTATGGACTCTATAGAAAAAGAGTCACTCAATAAATAGATGAGAAAAGTCTCACTTAAGCATGGTGCAGAAGTGTCTAGACAGCCTTACACTATAAAAATGTTGTTTTTATTAAGAAAACATTAGCACCAATATTTGATAACAGCAAAATATTATCATTTTAAATATAGACAGTTGTTAAGTTGACTTTTCTATTATTCATTTGTTTTATAAAAATCCTAGCTTCTTCCATTTTTCTTTTTTATTAGAATAGAAATAAAAGAGAAATGAAGACAGTCTCTTATTTAAAACACTAATCTGTTTTAAAGAAGTGCAATTCAAATTAATTTGAAAGAGATTTGTTTGTTTTATTGTTTCGTATTTTATTTTCTATGCTAAAACATAGAAACATATATTAAATAAATATATTTTAAAAAAAGAGAATTTTATTTTGCTTTCAATGATCGGTAAAAGACCAATATAAATGAGACGATTTAATTGAGATTGTGGCTACTATCCTTCACAGCAAAAACTGCATCTGAAAGCTTCATAGAGGGCTGCACTATCAAAGATGACAAAGCATCTCTTCAACCTGGAGTTTCCATATCTCTTGGCAAACCTCTCCTATTTCATCATCTACTCTTTGTTGCCCTGTCAAGTTGTTAAACTAAATTCAAACTCAGTGTGGAAAATAATTTTTTGTGTTGCTTTTATGTGCAGATAAGAGAGGTATCTAACAGAAGTTATATATAGTTAGTCCTTCACTCATGACTGTTATGCAGCCTGCCCAAAAGGATGAACGACTGTGGGATGCTACAGCAGCCATAACTTTGAGGCCGGTTGTAAGCAGCTTTTGGAGGGTCCACCATAACTATGAACTGTCTCTAAGTGATCGGTCATAAATCAAGAACTACCTGTATAGGTGTGTTAGATAAAGCAAACTGTAATGAAATACACAAATCACTGATATGTGGCCCAAAATGAATACTCTTTTTTCCCCACATTAAACTACAAGCCATAGCTCTTGTAATTAAAGGAGAAGGAGTTTGACTGATCATACAGACATGAGAATAACTTTTTCTGGTATTTTATGAGAAAATGCACAAGGTATTTTATTCAATAAAGGATTCTTACTTCACTTAATCTTATTTCTTTGGCAAGGTCCTTAATCAGTTGTGCTGGCTTAAAATGTTCTGGGAGTTCATCTTCATGGTCCACTAAAGCCTTGAGTTGAATACAAAAGATTAAAAAATTGTCAAGAAATCTTATAAGGTTATGCTATTTAAAATGATGCAGTATTAACTTTATGGAGCATTCAAATGAGATAAAAATTAGTAGTTTAGAATTATGAACAGACATTTATTCATTCACAGCAAGATCCTACATATGGAAAGGGTCCAGACCCACTTATAGAAAGAGTCTCTTTTTTTAATCTGTTTCCTTCCCAACCCAAATCTTTTATGTGCTCTCCCATTTTCCTGAGTTTTTTTCTGCCAGGTCCCCCTCTTAGAATTTCCTAACCATTCGTTCCAGCACTATGACACAAGTACATGTCAGTGACAGCACAAATCTGGATGTAAAACTGTTCTGCTCTTACAGAAAGAAAATTCTGTTTTACCTAGAAGGTTGTTCGCTTCCTCTTTTTCTGAATTCCCATGCAAACGTATACAGCAGAAAGATCCCTACCTGCTTTTTAGTCCAAGACCTGAAAGCACCATTTAGGATTTTTGCTCCCTGGACTAAATGGGAAGGAGGCTGCTTTCCAGCTTTGTGCAATCCTTAACAAAGAGGAAAAAAATAGAATTCCATTCAATGAATGTGACCGATTGTCTATTGATGTAGCTTTTTAAAATCATACATGTTATAGATTAAGTTGGCTGTCAATAAGCTTGTGAATTGAACTTCTATGATCATAAATCAGTAGTTCCAAAGCTTGAAGATTATTTTTGAATCTGAGCTTGAATTTCCTGAACTTCCCATTTGTATTTTGCTTAGCTAATTTCTGATTTGACTGCAAGTGCGAGATTCAGTGATAATATTCTAACTGCTAAATTCTGTGCTGACCCAAATGGAGATGCTGGTATTTCAAAGACACAGAACTGAAGCCAACACCACCTTAGTGGAGAGTCCATTCCCATGTCCTCTATTCCTTGTTGCCCCTCTCTAAGTCCTTGGCTAAAAATTGGGCAAATGAAATTTGCATGAGCAACATCTGATTCATGCAAACATCTTCTATCTACTTTATCAATATGAGATTCCACTTCAGTTTCCCCTTCCCAACTCACTGTGTTTCCCTACTAGGAAGTTGTGGATTTTGAGAAAATCATTACTCAAGTTGGCTTCTCATGCTCAATGCTTACTTTCATATTTTTAAAAGTAAAGCATTTAAGCAAAACATTCATTTCCAACCTGTGAGTCTTCATCCGTTGATTCATTATTATATGTTTATATGCAAGCATCTCAAAAGTGAATCAACAGACTAGTTAGACAATAATTGCCATACCAACCCAAATTCAGCTTTTCCTATACTCTTTGACTACAAAGGCAATGGTTCGCATTTTGGGCAAATGCAACCAATATCCAAACTGGCCATTTATATTGATACAACAGTTAAGAAATGATGAAGACTTTCAATATTGTGCTTTTAAAAAAATCATAAGAAGATGAAAAGCATGTCACCAAAGTAAACAATAATTCCAAGAATACAAGAACAAAGAACAAATAGGATGAATTTAGGGGAAGTTAGGAAGCTTTGAAAAGTGGATGTTAAAAAGTTATCTTCAGAAGAATATAAACCAAAACTTGGGATTGAGACCAAGTAACTATTTGTTTAGTACAGGAGTGGCCACCAAGTATCCTCCAAGCTAGTCCAGTACTCCATTTGTAGCTACTGGGTTCACTGGCAAAATAGGACAACAAAATGTTACTTTGGGTAACACAATAATTTCTTCCAAAATAAAAGTGTGAATGTGATTTGGGAACCTCCACAAGGCTAATTACTAGCATCTCTTAGGTTCCTTCAAACAAGCTTGGTGAAATTCGCCCAGTGTGTCTCCAAATATTGGAGACACAATTTTTAAGCGTTTGGGAAAGAGGATTGATGGGCAGAAATGGGAGAAGTTTGCCTCCAAGATGGGTGTCGTTATAGCCCTTAAGAAAGCCCTAAAAGAAAAAAATGTGTGGAAAAAATGGTATTGTCATTATCTAATCATCATTCCAATGAAACAAACACAAGCTGTGAGCTCCCTCCTCCCCACAACACTAATTTTCCACTCATGATACAATGGTGGTGAAATTATGGAATTTGTTACCACGAAATACAGTGATAATATTAAAAGGAAGTTAGGCAAATATACAGAGGATTCACCTGTTAATCTTTGCTTCTAGATTGCTACCATTCCAGTCCTTTCTTCAAACAGGCTCGTATTATACTCAAATCACCTTCAGGATCAAGGGTACTTATTAACATTAAGGTCAGTTTAGAGCTAGTGTATTGTAAAACTGCAATTCAAAGATTGGATTTCAAGCAAGGGGATATAGGTTGAAATTTCTATTCAACCACAAAGATCAACAGGGGTATGTGGATCAATCTCAACCTACTTCATATTGTTGCTAAAAGGAAATAAAAATTTGGAACACCTCTATATATGTCACTTAGATCTTAGAGGAAATTGAGATATGAACACATAAATAAATACCTAATTAGGATTGAATCCTAGTACTTCATTGGTGAAGTTTGTTTCCCCTCTCCCCAAAAGCATGCAGATTATTACAACAAATGGCCAGGTATGGTTACCAGTTTAAATATTGATGGAAAGTAACACCATGTTATAGAACACGAGCAGGAAAGTCATTTTTATTTACCTTTAAATGATTCCATCAGATGTCTTCCTGTGTACCAACATGCTGTTTCAAAATTGGGAAACTGGGTTAAGCTGACAATTTTTAATCGTCTTTCAACTTCATATGCTCTAGGAAACACAGTAAAAAATGTTTCAGTTGCAAAGATCACAAAAGTCTTCCTCCTCACGCCCCAAAAAAATATTTCTACCATCATTACCCAGAATACATCTGGTATGGTTTTAATTTCCAGGCACTTATCTGGAATTGTCAGTTACTACAGAAATACACAAATTCAAAACAAAGAGTGTCTTACATGATCTTTGCTGATTTTAAGTGAACAGCTAGCATTTATATAACTTGGTAATCATCACCAAAGGAATAATAGGCTCCAAACAAATGTACAGCAAAATTGTACAACACATACAGTGTTGGACTTATAACACAGGAGGCACTATAATCCTATACATAATTCCTCAAAATTAAATGTTATTTAATATATCATACTCATTTAGTAACATTTATTCTCCTGAAACCCAACATAAAATTTACTCATACTTATTCAGAAGACTTGAATATTAATTTTGAACAAATACAGGAAAATATTCAAACAGAGAACAGCGGAAGTGAACAGTTTCATAATGTTATATGAGGGCAGTTACATTAATTGAACAATGTTGCAAATAATGTTTCTTTTTTTAAAAATAAAATTGTTCTAATAAACTTGCTGTAACACATGAAATAAAAATACTGGAAAATGGTACACACCTTTCAACTTTGCTTAAGAAAATTGTTAAGTGTGATATGGTAGCAGCTTGGAAGAACAAGTTGGGAAACTACTTCAATATACAATATACAACATACTTGTTTAGGCATGCACCTAAAGCTGTAACCAATTCTCATCTTTTCTTTTTTTAAAAAAAGGAATATAGTTAATTATCCACAACTGTCTTACCTCATCTGCATCTCAACAGTTAAACTATGTAGAAAATGTCCTGAAAAGGCCAGGCAATCAACAGGTGTTAAAGTTGCATAAATCCATCCTTTAAAAAAAAAAAAAGAAAGCATACAAGATTTTTGTTAAACATTGAATATAATCACCACATTGTTCATATTTTCAATTCACTGGGAACTCCTTTCAGCTCAGAAGGATTTTGAAAATTGGTTTATGTTTGCTATATAAGAAATACTTTGACCTTTCAGACAGCCAAAGCAGGCTAATTTCAAAGCTTCCTAGGTAAGAAAGATCTAGTGCTGGAAGCAGGCTTCATCTTCAAGGTTTCCATGATATATGGAATTATTTCAGCAGAGAAGGGATGGGTGGGAAGGAGGATAAATTAGCATGATTGTGCCTTTAGATATTAAGAAAGAACCTATAGGAAATTATTTGAGCATTCTGGGGCAGAGTTATGCAACTGAGTATCACCAGCTTATAATTGTTACTTAACAGGTGTTAAACAGAAGTGAGCATAGAATAACACATGAGGACCCCACAATGCAGGGGTGTTAAGATGGATTTCTCTCGTCCACCAACACCAACTAGAATCAGCCTCAAATAAAGGAGAAGAACCCTCACAGAATTATGTCCCCTACAACTAACTCATGAGCTAATCCAGAAGGATATCATGATCCAGTAAGGCCAGGAAGGATGCATCACCCCATCCTGAGCCTTTCAAAAGTCATCAACAAATGAAATTAATGCCATCTCAATCTAACTCAGTCTAAAATCCTAAATCTCATTTGATGTATCATCTCCTGGAGTTTCTCTAAAAAATCAGGTAAGCCTCCAGGATTTGCATACTGTCCAGATTGGTGCAATCTGATCCAAAGTGCTGTTGCTTCTCATTCGAAGCAACAATCAGTCAAATCTTGCAAGAGGACCTCTCTTAAAATAACTGGGGCAGAAATAGTTCAAATAGTCCTTCCTCCCTGTGGCAGGGAGCAGTTGCAGAGAAATTTAAGGGAATGACAAGGGACTGATCATATTGCACTGCCTAAGACAAAAACCAAAAACTAACGTGGGGTTCTCCCACTATTAATTGTGACCTCAATAACATGGATCAAATCCATGGTTGCCAAGGTAGCCATGAATTCCCAACCTGTTCCCAATTCCAAGAGCAAGAAAGGCAACTTCATATGGAGAAACTGCAATGCATCTGATCCTTAGTGCTTAACTGCACAAAGATTACAAAACTGGGTTATGTGTGTGGGCAGCACTTCTAGTAGGCACCCTAGAATTCAAATACTAATTTAAAATAAATTATGATTGATTAAAAATAGCCCAATTTGAGTATACTTAAAGTGTACAGAGTCAAAAAAATAGATACTAAACATGGGATAAGTTTCACCTCTTTCAACCTATGTTTGTGCTATCTTCTGTGAGAACAGCTTTGTGCTCTGGAAACTGGACTAATATTGGAGAAACTGATAAGAGACAGCTGCTGGGAGAAACGGAATATGCCACGTAATTTATTCTCTCCTATAGACACTCTTTGTGAGCATCTTATTCTTTGCTAGATTTATCGCTGGCTTTCCAGTTGAGACCTTAATGATGAAAAACAGTCAGTGAGGCATTTACAAGCTGACTCAACAAGAGTTAAATATGGGATTATCCATTCTACTACTCATATATTAGTGTTGTACACATGAAGTTCTGACTCTTGTAACTTCCAGTCCAAGAACCTGCACCCCTTCCAATATTGCTGAACTAAAATACTTATCAGCTGAACAAATATGGCCAATTGTGAGGGATTCTGGGAAATGTAGTTCAATAATGTCTGGAAGGCCAGAGGACACCTATTTCTAATTGAGATTCACCCTTTGAAAAGTCCAAATCTGGTTTACTAAAAGACAACATGACAGTGCTACTTATTTGTTGCTTGGAATGTAGTCCTTCCACAGATAGATAACTGAGTATTATAACTGAGTATTGTATGCTGCAGAATCAATGGATTCATATTCTAGGGAAATTAACTGTAAATCCTATAACTCTATATTACCCCTCATCATTTCCGATTTATACTTCCAGAATTCAAACCAACAAACATGTTCAAAGCAAGACTCTCACTCTTAATTTTTAATTGCAACCACTTCCTTACCTGATGGAATGAAGAGTGTTTGTCCTTGTTTAACTGTGCATTTGTAACATTTATCCACTTGATCAGCAAAAAACATCTCACTGTGATTTGCTGCTGACTGCCAACGCTCATAAAGGGAGATATTTGCAGAGGTTGGTTTGATGAGATAAAATATTTTTTCTCCCTGAAACATAAAAATTGTTTTAGATCAGTTCAGATTTAGTTTCTGATCTTCAAACCTTCCCTGGCCTGCAGCATTTGAAGAATGGAATCCTGAATGGTAAGCTTTTTGATCACTTGAACCCAAGCCCTAGAATTTTTTTTTCTCTTAACCCATTTCTCTGTAGTAGAAAAGCAAAGATTAGAGTGATCTGGAGTCCCCAGAAGTTGTTCTTTCTGCAATATCCCCTTTCCCCTTTTTTCAGCAACAGATTGCAAGAATAGAAAGCACATTCTTATCACATTTCCCCTGATATATATATATATATATATCAATTCTAGTTTATCAGCAATAAATAATAGCTTAAGCTTCTTCTATGGCTACGCTTTTTACCCAGCATAAAGTAGGTATCTATGTCAGATAGATATAGTGATTGTTTCTTTCTATTCTGCATTTGTCAGAACAACTAGAATATTACATCCACATCTAGGCACTGTATTTTAGGAAGGACACTGATAAACTACAGTATGTCTAGAATAAAGCAACTAAGGGGTTGGAAGGAAAAATTTAGGAGGAATAGCTAGGACATTAGCTATATGTTTATCCTGGAGAAAGAAAGTGTATAAAGACATGATAGCTAAGTCGCCACGTATTTGAAGGGTTATTGTTCCAGAAAACAGACTAAAGAATAGTACATTTAAATTCCAAGAAAGTAGTTTTTTTTTATTATTATTCAACCCCTCTGCCCACAGTCTGGAGCTCAATCCTGACATGATTGAGGTTGACTCAGCCTTCCATTCTTTCAAGGTCAGTAAAATGAGGACGCAGATTGCTGGGGAGCAATATGCTAACATTTGTAAACCACATGGAGGGTGCTATGTAAACCACTATATAAGTCTAAGTGCTATTGCTATTTTATTCAAATGTATTTTTGACCCATCACAAAAAACATAACTGCACATTGGAATTAGCCACATTTTAGATATTTAAATGATGTAAGTTATTTCTCCATGCTGCCCTCTTTATACTGAATAAATTTTTTGATGAACCTATCAGCAAGACCACTGCCAGCACTGCATGTCAACATATGCTGAGTCTTCATTTTTCTTATTTCTACCCTCAAGAATTGCAAACTCCAAAATTTAGTGTGAATTTGCTACACTATTCCTTGCAATGGCTCATGATTAACTGAATAAAGCATCTTACTTTTAAGATGTGATACCAGGCGGAGGCTCCACCAGAGTCAATATGAAAATCTGTGTAGCTGTCTTTCACACAAATCAGACAGTATTTGGTCACTTTTGGTTTTGCCAGCAGAGCATCATCAGGCCAATAGTTTTCCACCCAAGAGAGCTTTTTCACTATTTCAGGAGATTCTACAAAACTGGACATTCTGTTTTAAAACAGGAAAGAAAAGTTAAAGCATCTGAACTCAATTAAAGGACATTGAAAGAGTTTTCTTGATTCACACTCCTGTTTCTGAGAAAATGGCAAGATCAGGAAGAGGCCCTCCTACCAGGAATGCATTCCCCACGGAATTGTATTGTTATTGCTGTTAAGACACATCTCTTTTACCAAGCTGTTTATTAATTTTAACTTCAATGTTCGTATCTATTGATGGGATTCAAAAAGACTGCATTTTGCATCTGAATTACAACTGGGCATCTTGAGATGAAAAGCAAGCAAGGAATCCATTGAGTTCAAATGGGGTACCATAACTCTTGAGAGAGTTTATGTTGGATCTCTTTGTTTACAATAGTCCAGTTATAAGTGCTGTTGCTTAAGTATCCAAACCAGTGCCATTCACACACAAACGGGGCTATTTGAGGTAGAACGGGAAGAAGGTAGAGGAAGGAACAACCCAGAAATGCATTCTATTTTCTGAGACATAAATGAAAATTCAGGAAAATGGGATAAATGAAATGAGGTGGAGAGAATCTTATTCATTTCTGTACACCAATAAGAATCTTAATTCTACTAGTGTACTTCTCATGTACCTATATAGAAAAAAGAGCTAATTGGTAAGCTTGGGAAATTCACAAAGTTGTTTTCTCTTTTTAGAAAAAAAAAGTTTAGAATGGGAGTATACCTCAGTTTCAGAGGCATACGTATCAGCTATTAGCTACTAGAAAAGTAAGGGTACAGGGAAATGTAATAAACAGTAACACATCCTAAAAAAGAGCACTCTATAGTGGAACTTTTCCTTATGGGTCTCATGTTTCTTCTACTTAAATTAATTTATTTTATTCATTTACATATCACATTCATAAACTCACTCTCAGAGCAACTCTGGATGGCGTACAAGTAAAATGTAAAAGGATAAAAATTGTAGATAAATATTATATTAGGCAGCAATTAAATGTACAGTTTCATAGTCTTTTATACTTTTTAATTTGTTTGTATTTTGTATTTTTGTGTTTTGTAAACCTCCTTGAAGTGTACAATAATGGCAGGCAGTGCAAAAATGTATTAAATATAAATAAATAAATCTGACAGCCTTCTTTTAGTACGACAAATCTTTTCTACATAAATCAGAACAGAAATTAAATGAAGACTGTTTTAGCAAAAGATTTATTATCCCAAATGCATACATAATTGAAAAGCAAGCAAAAGCACTTTCTGAATGCTAGTTATTCAAAATGTGAAGAAAACAACTTAATTAATGAGATGGAGATGTGAATTCACTTTTGAAATGCCTCTTTGTGTGAGGTATTAAGTGTAAAATGCTCTCATTGTAAACCTATTTTTTCGTTATCCTCCATGTCAAGGCAGAACTTGAGAGCTTGTTAAAATGCTATACTCTTTGCTAAAGAATATACTTGCTAACCAATTATTAAATCAGTAGTATATGAGGATACCATAATATGAGCAATTCTCTGCAATAAAAAAACGAGCCTTTCTTTACAATTGTTTCTGAAGGCTGAAAAAAAAGATTAAAGAAACACCTAAACTGTAATCATACTGCTTGGGAAAAATATTTTATCTGTGCAGGAAAGGGGATTACATTATTAAAACAATAAGTAATAGAAAGATATGGACACTACAAAATAAATGATTTTGCCATCAACCTTCAGCCTTATTGTAATCTACATTAATTATCACTGCAGTCTCTTGACAAACAAAATGGAATTCTTTCTCTAGCAATCTTTTTGTTTGGTTGTTTGATTTTTTGAACTCCTACTCCACAAAAATTAAATTACACAATTTGTTAATTTGTGAATATGAAATTTAAGCAGGTGGAGATGCAGATTTGAATAATTTATTTGGAAAGCATATTCTAATCTATAGAATAAAGTCAAACAGATTCCATAGGCTACAGATGTTACTATTCTTAAAAATATTCTAAATATGATGGGGAAAAGAAGATCTTTAGAATCTGTGGCTTCACATAGTATCTCACCTTGTATCTGAAAACTCCAAGTTAGTTACATTGAGGACTCTTTTTCGATTTGTGCTATAATAGTAATCAACAAATTCTTTTAGTTTCATCCTGCAGTCCTTCTGTTTAGTGACATCTGTAACATCCACACTCCTTTCTGGTCCTAAAAAAAAACAACCAACCCAAGTAAATGGGAATGTAAACATGGACACAGTGCAAGTTATATGCGAAAGTATAATTCACAGAGGTTCATTTCATGCGACCATGAAAACATACCCATGCAAACTTTGCTCTTTGGCACAAAAAGAACTGGACTTGCAAAAGGGTATTAAGAAAAGAGAAACCTATTCTGAAAATTGAGAAAGTGAAACAGGTCACCTGGCAACCGAAGCCTATGGTTATGTTTATGTTTGCTCTGTCTGGCACTTTCAATTTGAAGACACCCCCCCCCCCAAAAAAAAGTTTGAACTGATTGGGAGCATAAATATTTACCTGTCTTTAAGTCAAATATCAATTCCCAGGATTGTATGAGAACTGCAGAAAGCAGCTAGGGAATCCTGGGAAAATGAACAACTGTTTTATTCTATTATGCTGGTTCAGAAAATATTTTCCTAATTAATAATTATTTTCAGGAAAAATTATTTTTTATTCGTTTTTCTAAGTTAGTGCGCGAGGGTCATTTAAAAGTAAAAGGCATGTATCTTTTCAAGTAAAATATTGGTGGCATCTGCATCCCTGCCATCTTCTTAATTAATGCTGTAAAAACATATGTTGATGGTAAAATTCATTTGCCTGTGTATCTAAATCAACATTTCCCAAACTCTCTGGTCAACCTCCCTTGGGGAAGTACAGATAAGAGTCCAGGGGAGGTGTGAAGAATCTTTTAGTCACATTGTTAAAATAAACCCACCAAAACTTCACTGCACTGTTTTCATTGTTCATTTGTGTTCATGTTGGTGCTTGGCTTTTTAAGGAAGGTGTATACATTAAGTGTACTAAATGGAGATGCAATGAGAAAAAGTTTCTAAATCTAGAATGTTTAATCAGCCTCTCATCGGTGCTAGCAATGATGGTGTTACCTAGTTTGGATAATGAAACATCTGCAAGAGCAACCAAGTTCAGAGAGCACCAAGGACCCCTAAATAATAGATCCATAGTCTAAACACTTTGCTTTGTTCTCCTGTTTATGATGGCTGCCTTTCTTGGCTAGGAAAGGATTACTTCAGTTGATAGACAGAGAAGCAGATCTACATGTTAAATTTATTTGATCATTTTTTTCTTCTTTTTTTGTAGACTGTTTTTTTTTCTTTTTTGTTGTTGCTAATGTTGAATAAATAATAATAGTAGTAGTAGTAGTAATAGTAATAGTAATAATAGTAGTAATAGTAATAGTAGTAGTAGTAGTAGTAATAATAATAATAATAATAATAATAATAATAATAATAATAATAATAATAATAATAATAATAATAATAATGTTGGAAGGGACCTTGGAGGTCATCTAGTCCAACCCCCTGCTCAGGCAGGAAACCCTATACCATTTCAGACAAATAGCTATCCAGCCTCTTCTTAAAAACTTCCATTGTTGGAGCATTCACAGCTTCTAGAGGCAGGTTGTTCCACTGATTAATTGTTCTAACTGTCAGGTTGCTTCTCTCTTTGGTTAATTTCCATCCGTTGCTTCTTGTCCTGCCCTCAGGCGCTTTGGAAAATAGCTTGACTCCCTCTTCTTTGTGGCAGCCCCTGAGATATTGGAACACTGCTATCATGTCCCCCCTCGTCCTTCTCTTTGTTAAACTAACATACCCAATTCCAGCAACCGTTCCTTATATGTTTTAGCCTCCAGTCCCCTAATCATTTTTGTTGCTCTTTTGTTTTGTTTTGTTTTGCTTCATTTTATTTGTTTGTTTTTCTGTTTTTTATTTTACTTTTTATGATAAAACAATAAATAATGTTTTGTTTTTTTAAAAAAAGAAGCAGACAGCAGAGACTAAAAGCGTCCAAGTAATGCAGCAAAATCTGCCAAGGACAGGAGATGGATCAGCAAACATGATATTCCCACCAGGTACAAATTGGATGGGAACTGCTATAAAATTATACTTGAAATATTTATGCATACACCAGCACAATAACTTTACAAAGGAGAAATGTAAATATTATATTTGCCTTACATTATTGTATGTTTATGAAATAATAATACATGATAAAAATAATAAAATGCATGGATTTAATTAAATGCCATATATACTAACTATAACATTACAATTTTGAAAAAGAAAAATCAAAATTTTTCTGAATGCCTGACATTTGTATAATAAGAAAAACAAGGTATGATTAAGTTCCTTGTCATCAAATTAATTTTTGGTTAACCTGGGAATCCTAAAGACAATAATGGGAATCAAAGGGTAGATAGTAACAGAATATCATACAGATTACATACGAACATAATTTAATAAAAAAAATGCTGATTTCAAGGCACTAATTTGTCCAGACTATACAAAAAGATGTGGATGATTCTTGCAAGCTAACATTTTGGATTAATATAGGAGAAGAAACCATCACATTGTCAATAGTGCCAATAGCTTTCTAATATTCTATCAACTGCATATCTAGAAACTGTCATAAAACAAATATTAAAATCTTCCATATCTGGTGATCCCAATGGTGTTATCCTTTTATTTAATTTTAATTTAACTTCAGGGGTTATAGGCATCATACTGCATATTGCAGAGATGATGCAAAACAAAATGACAATAGGACAGTAGCTATATATGTGGAATGAAAAAGTGTCCTGTTTTTGATATAGATATTGCTCCCTTGGGACCAGCAAGTCACATGAAAACCCTGACTAGTAATGGCAACTTCCAGCTGCCCCAATTGCCGTTGTTAAGTGAATCATTCACAGCCATTAATCAAGACAGCCTGTGATTGTGAAATGCGATCTCCTGCCAGTTTCCCCATTGAGTTTACATGTCAGAAGCTGACTGGGAAGGTTGCAAATGGTGATCACATGACCATGGGATATTGCGACCATTGTAAATGTAGGACCGTTGCCAAGAACCCAAATTGCGATCACATGACCGTGGGGATGCTGTGACAGTCGTAAGTGGAAGAACTGGTCATACGTCACTTTTTTCCAGCATTGTATAACTTCAAATAGCCACGAAATGAATAAGGACTACCTATACTCCTATTATCAAAAAGCCAGCAATATAGTTGGTCTGTTCCTCTTTGTTTAAAGCTGTGTAGTTTCAGATTCATTAAATCAGGACTGCCTTTTTGAATCGTAAATTAAGTCCAGTAGTGAAGAGGGAACACAGACTGTAATGCACAATTCTTGCAGGAGAGCCTGATATGACCATATGACTTTGGAAATGTGAAGATACATTTTTAATTGGAAATTAGAAACAATGGAAAACTGTAAATTTCCCCATCAAATATCTTTCACACTACAGATCCTATCGACGCTGAATAGCATGCTACTAACTATTTGATAGGAAATTACTCAAATTGAGAGCTGGAGGGATTATTCATATTTACAGCAAAACACCAACAGCAATACATACCAACATAGTTTTCAACATCACTGACATAAAACGTTGGTGCAGGTACTGACAGGCCCAAGCCGTCCTTCTTCGGGATGAGAATAGGCTCTGTGAATCCGTTTTCTTCCAAATATTCAACTGTTAGTTGGCTTCCAGTCACTTTTATTACCATGTCTTCAGCACTAAAAATTCAAAACAAAACAAAATTAGCAGTCCAATTATACAATAAATTCACACCAAAGTGAATTTAAGCATTTAAACAAAGGTTTAAGGAAGTTAAGTCTAGGGAAATATTAGTGGTAATAGGAATGCCAGATGGTTTCTTCATATATCTGATCCTGTGTTCAGATTTAGAACTATTGGCCAAACTTAAAACTGTTAATATCAATGAAGCACAAACTTAACTTTTTCTAGATTACAGCTTGGCAAGCAATTTGTAAAATGAATTGTGCTACATACAATGGAATACAATATTAATATCCGGACAAGCCTTATCAGCTTTATAATACTTTATTCAAAATATACTAAAATAAGTTGTTCATCAGTATATTCCATATCCATAATTTTTGTTATGGCCAAAGTTCATTAGGCTTGTATCACTATACTAGGAAACTAATTACTTACTCTCAATTTGAGTAAGCTCTGTGTTCAACTAACCCACTACAGAGCTGGTCCTTAACATTAATATTTGATTTTGAATATCCACCCTATGCATTTTTTTTCTTCCTTTCCTATTTTCTCTGACTCAGAAAATATCTCAGGCTAAACATTGGCCCCCTTTTTATTTTTTCTCTCATGGGCACCCATGGCAATCCTCAAGAATTTCTCTAGACAACGAGAAATACGCAAATTCCACCATAAGATCACACAAGCAGCAAATTACTAGAAAGAAGAAGAACAGGCTGATCATTTGCCAAAGAAAGGAGGGATGGTTATAAACTTTTCCCAGTTTCCTGGCTGCACCTCTTGACATATAACATTTTTCAAACTGAATCACAATTTTTACTCTGGATCCATAGGTATTTTGAATATTTAGGGGGACAATTTCTTGATCATAAAAACCACATCCTCGACCACTTCTATAGCACAGTTTGAATGAGACCCACTTCTACCGTAGTGATTTTTAATCTCTCCAGTCATTCACCTGTGGTTAATCCAGAAGCCCTTAGATCAAAGTCTCCTTAACTTTTTGCCATCACACCTCCCTTTAGTGTAATCATAATGTAATCCAAACACCAAAATGAACACAAATGAACAATGAAAATAATACAATGGAACTTTAAGAAAGGTGGATTTAACAATATACAGCTAAAATATTCTTCACAGCCCTGGGTTCTGTGTGTACCTCCCCAAGGGAACTACACCTCACAGGATGGGAAACCCTGCCCTAGATAATGATGGAGAGGCAGATTTTGAAGATTCATTAATCGCAGGATTATATCCTGCTGTGACTCTCTATACTATCTATATCAGCAGTCCTCAACCTTTTTGGCACCAGGGACCAGTTTCGTGGAAGACAATTTTTCCGCAAACCAGGGGTTGGGGTGGGGGATAATTTCACATGCAACCTAGATCCCATGCATGCACAGATGAAGCTTCACTTGCTCACTCACTGCTCACCATCAGCTGTGCAGCCTGGTCCCTAACCAGCCACAGACCGGTTCCGATCTGTGGCCCAGGGGTTGGGGACCCTTGATCTATACTATCTATACTATCATTCCTTCACATGCTTATATATCTTCCTTGAAGGGTTTAGCTCATGTGTTATTGTTATTCCTTGTTTGTAATTTTTTGTTTAGCAATGAGATGTTCGAGGAAGCTACTACTGAAAACCACCATCAGGTAGATCCATACATGTCCCTGTTTGTGTTACATATGGCAACCTGTTGATTTAGCCTCCTGACACTTCTTTAGATAGAAGAGCAAACAGTAACATTTCCAAATGGTCCCAAATGGTCCTAAATTCTCTTTACAGGAATACTGTCTACTACTAGAATTATGAAGCTTGACATTAAAGTTATTAGGAATTAAAAGTAGGTCTGCAAGTCATTTTGTTGCATTCACTTCTTCAGCAAAAAATATCAGCATCATTTTCCTCAATCACCATCTCCTCTTTTATTGCCATGGATTAAAAAAACTCAAGATATTTTCTTGGCATTCTTCTAGAACTATTCCTGGGTTGCTGGTGATGGTGAGTCTGCTAGTCATGCCATTACCAATTCTTCTTCTACATTCCCAGAATAGTGCAATCTTCTGTATTAAAAGTGAATAATAATTGAGCCAAATACCGGCCATTAAAGTTTAGGGAGAGGGGACCATGACACCTCCTCATGAGAAAAGTCAGACATCACTCTTCCTCTACTTCTGACTAATCACCCTTACAGATACCTGTGTGAGTAACAGATGCAAGATATAACACAGATGAAGAGAGTCAAATAGACAAAAGCATAAATCAATCAATAGGATAAATATGGGAGATGTTACTGACAAAGACAAGGAAATAAGGCAAACACATGCACCTATAATAATTGTTTATGGAATCAAAAAATCAGAAGTGAATGTAACAGTTTAATGCATAACTGAGGAGAAAGCCTTAATCCAACTAAAAATGAATAATCAATGTTTAAAAAACTAAAATTTTAAAATATCAAATTATTATCTTTAAAAACAAAGTGAAGATCACAGAAAATAGAAGGATGGGTGGTTAAGCTAATTTATCTAAGATAAATTGAAGAAGAAATAAGGAGAATGGGAATGAAGATGTGTTTTAAAAAAATGTTTGAGGCGATCCTTGGAAGAGAAAAAGAGTCATTACACGGAGTCTGACTATAGCAACAGCAATTAAATACTCAATTCTCTTCCTATTCTTTCTACCACACAGGATCTTGAAATCCATTCAAAAGGAATGAGAGGATAACTATGTCTTTCATGAAGACAACTTTTTGTCCTGGCTCTACTGTTAATAATTGACTCAAATGACCCCAAAACACTGCAGTAATGTTCTTGAAAATGTATAAAAATTCACATAATAGAAATATAAATTTTAAATAACAATATTATGAAAATAATCATCCATAACAAAACACCAGACTTTATATAAAGACATGTATGTTAATATGATCAAGATTCATTACATTTTGGCTACTGATGCTAAATCCTTCAATGGAACAGTTTACCCACTGATTGGTGATGTGCTTTTGGTCACCAAATCTGTAATACAAGCTACCATCTTAGCTTGACAAATGCTAACCTAAATCCTGTTTGGATGTTTAGCAAAAGGTTTGATGTAATATTCCAATCAGCCAGCTGTTTGTGAAATGATGCAAAACAACTTAATAGTAATATAGTCTCAGAATAGCCAGTTTGCGAACAGCATCTCAGCGTCAAAGGAATCTCAAAAATACCTGAATATTTTGGTCAAACCTTCTTCTAAGCAGACATTTTACTTTACTTTAGCCAACTTTACTATATTAAATTACTTTAGGTACTTTCACCTAAAGCACAGAATTTCATTGGGATGATAGCAGTTTTCCATCTGCATGCATCCATAAAGTTCCAAAATCCTTTTAGGGTAAAGCATGAGCGCCCTCTTCTGTGCCTCTTTGAAACTACACTTCTTACTCTAAGCACACAAGTGGCTGTCAAGGGGGTAAAGCTATAAATGAAGGTATAAATTAAACTTTAAGAGATACAGAATTATTCATTATCATCTACAACTAGGGAAGTAAATTGTTTTTTTAAAAAAAAAATTAGCTTTTTAATGTCTTATTACTAATCCTGTCATGAAAATGGGTTTGCTTTGACTAATTCTGGCTTTTTCCCCCCACCGTACTGTCAAAATGATTTGTAAAATTCAGAACAGAAATTCCTTAGTGCGATTCGTCTTAATTACTAAAGAGTGCCATTTAAGTCAATATATGACAATAGAGAAATCTTTCATTCTTCTCTTTTTATAGCTACTTTTCTTCAGTTCCATATAGTTTAAAGATATGTTACTTAAGTAAATGAGGTCCTAATATTATGATAAGTGACCCGGTCCTCAGCATAATATGCAAAATATCCCGCCCTTGATATTTATTCACTTTGGACCTCCAGGATAAAGAAACCTGTATGAATGGATTTCTAAATCCACTTGTTTTATATAGTCCACTATGTGGGTGGATGGATGAATAAATACATTAATTAATTAAGGATCAGGTATAAGTTCCTATTAGATTGAAGAAAAAATACATGGAGAGGTATTATTCTATCTCTCTTTTCCTCCATTCACTAACAAAGCTACAATAGCTCAGAGCTATGGTAGCTCCTTAATTTAAGGACAGTCAAGATAGAAGGGTCTTTTTTGGTATATAATGCAAGTAGCAGTTGAATATTAACAACCTGAGCCTATAAAGACAGATAAGTTCTGACTGCTGTTGAAAGGGAAAAAAAGTGCTGAATATTTTGTTATGGTTGCCAATGTATGCAAACTCCACAGTTCAGCTTACAGAAATGCCACACTGTTATCCATACTTCTGATTTTAGTTCCAGGTCAAAACTGTGAAAACAAAGAGAACAAAACTTTTATAGCCAGGGATACTTCTATCAAACACTTAGCCTGGATTTGTCATCTTTCACACCAGGTGTCCCCAACCCCCGGGCCGCAGCCCATTCAGAACCGGGCCGCGGAAGTGGTGGGTGAGCGTGCGTGCTCGCACAGCTCCACTTGTGTGAGCAATGGGCAAGTATGTTCGCCCGCCACTTGGATATAACCATTCCCTCTCCCTTCCCTCCCTGCCAGTCCACAAAGCTGGAAAGGTTGGGGATCGCTGTTTCACACCTGTCAGTCTGTCCAATGAAAACTTTGACATTTGACCTTTAATTGCTTCTTATTCAGCTCAACATTTATAAGGAAGAATTTCATGAATACCCTTTAGTTTCTGTTCACTACGCGATGAGGGATTAATTGCAGTTCCATTCCTCCCCTCCTTTTTTTTTTAATATTATGGAATTGAACTGCAGTATTTTGTTTACCACTAGGGTGCACCAATGAATACAAGACACTTAGAGACTCAAAATAATCTAGCAGTGCCTCAGAAATGCTAAATGTCCCAATAAGTTGTGAAAACAACTTATTTCTTTTTGTTGACCTGTACGCTATATGCTGTTTCCACCGCCCATTGTGGAGCTGTACCAGGCTTTCTAAGGATCAAATATGGCCCAGTATTTGTCAATAAGCAGAGCAAGGGATTTGCTTGGAAATTGTGCAGAAAGTTATGAGGCCAAAATCTGTAAGCTTATAATTTTACCAAGGAAAACTTACCTGCCCCAAATCTTCCTTCTAATATTAATGATAGAAGAATGGCATTAGCAACTTACCTGGGGAATGTACGACTTCGAAGTTCTTTGATAAACACTTGACTGCCATTCTGGACAGGCTTTACTTCTGTTGCTTGACCAGTGTCATGTTTGTGCCAATTTCTTTTCTTTTTTACTGAAAGAGAAAAAAATCAATGGGATTATATATAATAGGTGTGGGAAGATGACAATTTTGGCTTACCTATAAGGTTAACAGGACCTTATATACAGTGTAATGATAATCATACTAATTCTAACAAAATAGTATAAAATTCATTTTTGTTCTGAAGAGACAGTTGACTTTTTTTTCATCTGTTTATAAATGTTAACACTGTGGTTTATATGAAGTATGCTGAACTGTGATAATTTGGTAACCCTGAGAGCAGCCAGCCATATAATTAACTACTGAGCTATACAGTTTTTATAAAATGAAATGTAAATCCTGGATAGAGTTCAGTTTTACTAAGCTACACTTTTAATCTCTCCTGTTAAGAGCAGCATTTCAAATTGCAATGTAGAACATATCATACATGTCAAGGACTGATGCAAGATAAAATTAAATCATGGTGTAATGTATTATTTACCTGGGCTTTGAATCATATATGAAGGAAGAAAGTCCACCCAGGCAGATAACAAAGGCATAATAATCTGTCTCTTTTCATAATGTTTATTTTATTGATTAAAATGTGCAATTGAAAAATTAATGAATTAAACCCTAATGCCACAATGAAGGCTCACTGTTTAGCTGTTATTCAATAAGAAACAAAGGATATGTCAGATCAGATTAAGCAAAGACATGAAAACTGAACTCTATATGTATAAGAACTCATGATTCAACCATTTCAGTCATTTATCATTCAGGATTATGATGCTTAGATGGTAATGCAAGTTTAATTATTGGCAAACATTCATGGCCTATGAAAAGTTACAATTCAGATATAATGGTTCTAGTATGCGAAATGGGGGGGGGGCTACAGTCCCTATAAGAAAAGGGTTCTCTGTATATAATTCCTGTTGAGGTATCTTCTCGTCCGCAAAGGATTTTGATTCTCATTTTCAGTGGTGGGATTCAGCCACCAGTAGCTAATTTTTTGTTGCCCAGGCCCAGAATGGACTTCCGGAAGCAGCATCAACACAGAGAACCGGTTGTTCACATATCTGAATCCCACCACTGCTCATTTTGTCTAACTTACCTAAGGGAAGTCTCAAACATTTCTGCTTGAGGTCTGGGGGAAAAAATGAGTTATCTAATAGAACATACAGAAGTTTCAAAGCAAAAGGAAAGCATCCCTAATTTTCTATTCCTTTAGTAGTGCAGTTCCCAAAGTCCAGTACCTTATCAACTCATTAAATGTACACATTTCCTTCAAGATAAACGCTGATGCAATGTGTTCCTTTTCACTACAGCTAAAATGGTAAAGATTTTAACTTTACAAAAACTGTGAGGAAAGTTTGGCTGAGGGGTAATGACTGGCCTAAAATTACAAAATTTTCTTCGTAGCAGAGCGAGGGACTCTCGGACATTACACTTTAACCACTGTGTCACATTATATCTATATCTATGCCTGTATCTACATATGTGCCTAGTCATCAAGCCATTTTCTTTTGAGAGAATGAGCATTATACAAAGCAAAGAGAAAAATACGAGTAAAAGAAACGAAAGCCAGGAAACGAGAGAAAAACAATCTAATTAAATATAATTTACATTAATATCATTTCCTATACATCTTTATACCTTTCTAGACATTCAAATCATTCTCGCCAACCTCTTTCATATATTGCCTTTTGTTTTTAATCACTCTTATTGGTATAATGAAATAAGTAAATATACTACAACTTTATAGCACTGCCTGCCCTATGAAATAGCCCCCTTCCCAAGATCTAGAAGGCTTCTGCATTACTGGCCTTCTAGAAGGCTTTTAAGAACTGGTGATTTCCCCAGACATTGGGGCAGGATGGGAACTGAACTCAGAATATGTATAAATTGGGATAAAAATGTTATGGTGCCTTGGTTGTGTGAAATGGTTTTCTTTGTGTTGGGTTTTTAGTTTTTAGTATGTTGTTGGAAGCAACCCTGGGTTATGCTGGATAAGGTGAACATATCCATCTTATACATACATACATACATACATACATACATACATACATACATACATTTTATACATACATATATTTTCATACTCAGCTTTTGTGGAGAAATTTTATTGAAATCACCATTTCAAATAATAATTTGCTAAAAGTTCTTGTCAAATAATTTACTGTATAGGAAATGATCTCTTGCCTATTTACTACATCCAATTTGCTTTTCTTCATAAAGTAATTCTCCTGCATAGAAAACAATACAGAATCAAATGAAAGAACCACGAGAGATTAGTACATGTAGAAATATTAAAATAGAGGAAAGCTTTTGCTTGATTAAATAAAAATGAACACATATTTAGGAAATGTGGAAATAATGTTAGCTAGCAAAATGTGAAATATTATATCTGTCACATTATTTGTTAGATTTTAATCCTACTTTTCCTCCTCGAAACTCAAACACTCATTCAGTTTTTCTGACAACATCTCTGGGAGTGAGAGACTGGCCCATAGTCAGCCTATGAGCTTCCATGGTTGACAGTAGACTAGAACCTGGATCTCCCTGATGACTACACCTTAACCATTATTCTAGTGTCCTCACTAAAAAAAAATGTGGAAATCTGTGATAATGATATCTTGCTATGGCTGCTAATAAAGGTTGCTAAGTTGTAGAGCATTATCCCAACATGCTTGTCCCTCTTTCTAACATGCAAACAGTCCCATAATTTGGTTCAAGAGTTAACCACAACATTCCAGCTCTCAAAATTTTTGCCAGAGGTCTTATGAATTAAGATCTCTTTCAGGACAAAACTTAGATCATGTTTTCTACCACAATAAAATTCAGGTGCAATTCTGGCTTCCTTATTATTCAAGAACTACATTTTTAACAAATGCATATTTTTTCTACATTGTAGCCTTCCAAAATGTCATTAAATCAAAATTACTGTTAATGTTGTATAAGGGAAACAATTTTCTAAAATAGCAAGCCAGCAGGCTACAGTGGCAAAACAAAAAGCACAAGAAATTATTTTTATATCGACATCTGGAAGGCATCCATCAATGAAAGTGTCTGCCAGAAAAAAAAAATCCTATAAGTTGCATAATCAGAACAATCAGCCCATATCCTTTGTACCTAAAATTCTGCAATAAATAATAGTGAGCTGAGAGATATGGGAAGACAGAACATTTTTCTGACTTGTACCAAAAATAAATTAATTTCCTAATTAATTTACCTCTACATTCTAATGTCAAGCAAATCCTTTTATTTACACCAAGCAAAATATCATGAAAGAGGGAGCATCATTTGAAGCCCTTCACAGCCTTCATCCAGCCAATCAAGTACAAAATATATAGGCATACATGGATAATCAATTTAATATGCTTTTCTCCAGTCTGGGAGATAGCACAAAAGTAATGTATCGTTATCTTTTCTAAGTAGACCCTTTCTCCTTTCTGGAATGAAGATGAAGAGTACTACTATCCTAACAATTTTCTGTGGGGCAATTAAGGCATAAAAAGGGGTCACTAGCTGTGGGGGAAAACATTCACCAATTGTTCCTTCTCACATGGGCTGGGGAGGGCAAACATTCTGCCAGATGGCTGTGATGTGATTCAACCTCTTGGCTGTCCATCTCCATAAAAAGTCAGATCCTTCAGAATTTCTTTTATCGTGATTTAATGAAAGAGGCTAGGTTGAGATATGATTATAGAAATCATAGCAATGAGATTGTCCTCCCTGTTTAGAATTCAGTTTATGCTCAAGATTTCTACGGTAGGGATTCTCATCTCTTATTCAGCTCCTGTATCTCTTGAAAGTGCTATGTTTAGAATGTGAATTGATTTTAAATATGCCATCACAGGAGTTGTAGCCATTTGTCAGAACTTTTTAAAAGGTAAGTGCTTCTGTAGCAATCTTAGTGCAAACTGCCTGTCAAACAAAGGAAGTATAAAAAGGCTTGGCTGGCAGGTTGGTCACTTTAGAGAAATCATGGCTTACAGGACTGTCTGGTGATCTTGGAGTATCTTAGTCAACTGAGAGGCTAAAACTATTAACTACCGTGTTCCCCCCAAAATAAAACCTATCGCAAAAATGAGCCCTAGCTTGATTTTTACGTGTGCACCTAATATAAGCCCTACCCTCAAAATAAGCCATAGTTAGGATCCCACCCAGTGTGTCCCACCATCTGTTTGCATGAGGTGTGGCAAGGTGCACATGTAAAAATCAAGCTAGGGTGGGTGGAGCTGCCCCATGCACTCCACACCCGCTTACTACAGGACCTCCACAGCCAGGCCTCCCATGCCCTGACACCTGCCTCGCCTAGTGGTGGAGGCACCGACAGCCCCATTCAGCAGAGTCCACATGGCCACAGCAGTCCCACTTCTTTTACGGCCACTTGCCACTGCTCGCGCACGTTGCCTCTGGCCTCCGTTTCACCAGCAGAGGCCTTCAGGAAAGGCCTCTGCAGCCCAGAATGGAGCTCCGGGTTGACCTGCATGTTGCCACCCAGTCTCCATTTCACCAGCAGGAAAGGCCTCTGCAGCCCAGAACTGAGCTCGGGTTGATGTACGTGTCGCCCCCCCCCCACGGCCTCCATTTCACCAGCAGAGGCCTTCAGGAAAGGCCTCTGCAGCCCAGAACAAAGCTCCAAGTTGATGCGCATTTCCTGAAGGCCTCTGCTGGCAAAACGGAGGCCAGGGGGTGATGCATGTATGTGGGGTGTGCAGAAAAAGTGAGGACAGACAGGGGGGGGGGAAGACATTCCCCAAAAATAAGACCTAATGCCTCTTTTGCAGGCAAAAAAAATATAAGACCGGGTCTTATTTTTGGGAAAACACAGTATTGACAAAGTAGCCTGTGAAAAAGCAGTAGACCAGATTCTCTTTGATACGTAAGACTCTTTAAACAGGTACTTGTCTCCTACTATTTGCAGCAATATTGATAATAATGATGGTTGATGAGATGATGATGATGATGATGATGATGCTCTTCCAAAATCATTCCAATCCATCAGCACTAACCAAAATGCTTAGGAAAGTCAATGATTTCACAGAAAAGGG